CTCTGAACTGCCAGGCCCGCAGAGAATTTCAATGATCTCATCACGCTTGGGGGGGGCAAGTGATTGATTAGTGTTGATCGCCATGCCATAACTCGTCGCCCGGCTATTTGTCATTTCTAAAATTAAGAAATATCAGTTATTCATGCCCGAAAGCTACTATGTCGGGATCCTAACACACCTGTGAATGACATGCACGTGCTGTGCAGGATGCTTTTTCTCATATGCAAGTCATGACTTGGTGTATAATTACTATTGGACTCATGCCGGGGGATACCACTGCTTGTAACTGATGTGACCTGAAGGAGTTCTCTAGTGTAGGCCGCTGCAACGGCCGCTGCGTATCTCTGCCAACTTTTATTCTTATGGGTATCTGCGTAGTCGCAGATTCCCCGGATTACCAAACAGGGAAACGTGTTCATCAGGCCTGCAGCTTCCATCTCAACACATATGGCTCCAAATTTTCGCCCGAGCTGGTCCCTCAGGCAGGAGTCTTTGATGACCCTGTTGCCGGACGCAATCAAACCGTAATGAATCACGGGCTCATTAGAAATTCGTTTGGGGCGCTTGACACTTCTTGATAAGTCACAATGAATGCAGGAACTTGCCCGTGACCTATGGATGTAGTCGGACAAAAATAAGTAATCCGATGACTGAGGGCGTGCATATCCGCTCTCCATGAAGGGATTTCTCCTGAACATCTCAGTTACTGAATGGCAAACTTTGCTTCCCTGCACCTCGTGGCTGGCTTGCAGTTTCGCCAAGGCTGAAAGCAAGGTCCGTGGCGGCCGATCCAGTGTCCCTGTATGTTCAAAATGTCCAGGATATGCTTTCCCGTAGTCGTATTGGACTACTCCACCGTAGATGCCTGTGGGACTGCTGACTACAATGTCGCCTAAACGTACGTCGTTTGTTTCATTGGGTATCCCGCCGCCAATCCCCACCATCAAGCCGAACCGAATGGCATAGAAACTGGACTTCAGCTGCGTAGCTACTGTCGCGGCTGATGCTATACCATACTCTCGGCTGGGTAAGCAAGTGATCACAACATTATGGAGGCCAATTTGGCCAAAGATGTATGTATTATGATCATTTGGTTGCGCAGGCAGTTCTTCGTGGAGCACATCCAGCATTGCTGCGGCAGCGGCCATCTCCAACGGCAGAGCACAAATCCATCCGACTGTGTAATCATCATAAGACAAACGGGCCTTCTGCGCCATTCTTTTTCACCTCGTAACGGAACCTATAAACGGGTAGCAGCGGGGCATGAACTTTGTCGAAGTTGAAGAGAGAGATTAGAGGGAAATAGTTAGCAGCAGAATATACTCGGGCGAAACCCCCACTGAAAGAGCTTCTCCACGTGACTTAGGACGGTGGTGAGGCTGTGCTTGACAAGGCTGCCAGCAAACAGTGCGGGGGGATTCGATACCCACCGGACATCAGTATTTGCGCCTTACACATATACCCTCTTCGGGGCTCATACGCTTGTTATATGACATCCTGCAGACGAAACATTTCAGACATGGAAAGAAGAGTGCGTCTTTCTTCCTATGATGGATATACGCCGCCACGGGTGCGTTACACATCAAGCGTACCTCCATCAAGCATCGAGGACGACCCAAAAGGATTGGAGCCGCTGTCCGAACACCATCGGCTGTCAAGAGATAAGACATCTCAGAACAACAATGAGCCAGACACTGCACTCGTCTTGAAACAGCCCATAGCAACAGAAAGGCCAACCTCGACTCGCGGTGCTCCTGTCATGATATCACTTGACACCGATACCAGGTCCTGGAATTCTTCTATTACGTCAGATAGTGAAGAGTCCGATAGAGGCTACTATCGCTCCTTGGGGATGAGCCGCGGGGCAAAATCGAAACCTTCAGACAATGCAATCACCCGTCGGCGCTCAAGCAGAGAAGCGATGTTGGAGGAACTTGAGTCACTCCGGCTTGAGAATGAGAGACTAAGGGCTGGTTCTCAACCGTATCCAGATATTCCAGCGCCGTTGTCATACAGGCCACATGTATTCTACTGCATTGATGATGCAGATTTCTACTTGGATGAGCCGCGATGGGAAGGAGGCGGCGAAGCCCCTATCTTGTACTCGCGCAACCCCATCCGCAGCACCGATTATTACATTGACCAACATCCGGAGATCGCTTTCTGCTTTTGCAAGTATTATATTTCACAGCCGCCAGGAGATACATCCCTTTTAGAATCCAGCGACGGTGTATTCAAGCAGCCTCTTCCGGTGCGGCAGACGCTAAGACTTGTAGCAGCAGCTATGATTGATGCTGTTGAGCAGTTTGTTAGCCGGGTACCCGGTTTCTTTTCATTTTTTCCAGACTTTGATGCTGGAAAGGATATCCAAGAACCATATCTGTTCATGTTCTACTCACTACCCTATGTGCAGGAGGCTAGATCCGGCTTGGAGCCTCAAGCTCAAGGGCTCTTTGACCTCTTGTATGAGAGTATCGACGCTAGTCATGGTCTCGAGTATGCGAGCGTTACAAAGCATGCTGCGCATGGCCGCACTTCTAGTCGCCTTATCCAGTATCTTATCCAACCAGGAGATGTGCTTGTGGATTTGGATGGCCCAAGAACCCAGGCCTACCTCGCCGTAGGTTGGGCCGAACCAGTCAACCAAGTGCGACGAAATTATGAAGAAGAGATTCTGGAATATAAATCATCGGGCCAGAATCAAACAGCTAGGAAAGGGGTAAAGAGGCCAATCAAGCGATTACAATACCACTTTAGGGTTCCAGTGACCTATTTGAGTTTTGATGGGAACTTCGAACGAACAAATGCTATTCTTTCCTTCGACCTTGGAGTTGGACACGAAAGTGAAACAGTGCCTATCAAGTCACTTCGCTATATCCCCTTATCTCATCTCCCGTCTGACGTCCGAAAGACGCTGGAGCGTCGAGGGGAAACATTCTGGTCCATCCGCTTTAGAAGATACATTACATATAGAATGCCTACTGGAGAAAATCTGGATATCGTGAGTAGTTGTTCTACCAAGAATTAGAGAAAAGCAAAGCGGAACTGACAGCAAGGCAGACGGAGGATCGCTACTATGTCGATATCTCAACCTACAGAAAACTACACCCAGATACGACTATAAATCGCTCACATCTCCGAGCTGATATCGGCAGACGGGAAATGTCTCGTGATGAGCCTCCCCAAGGTCTATATCTGTTATTATTCCCGCCGACCATCGTGGGATATAATATGCTGCACAAGACATGGTGTACGCCGACCCGTCTATACTCCGAAACCTGCAGGCGCGAACTGTCCACTGATTGTCGTTATTTCTAGCTGACCTTTACGTTGATTACATCTATGACATTGACTGGAACAAGCAGGCTTTCCAGGATCTCGTAGTGGACGAAGAAATCAAAGAATTAGTCCAAGCGTTGGTTACCAGGCAGATAGAGTCGCAGAAGTCCACGGACTCTATAAGTGGCAAGGGAAACGGCCTAATCCTACTTCTCCATGGCGCGCCAGGAACAGGAAAGACATTCACTGCGGAAGGTGTGGCTGAATTTGCAGAAAAGCCGCTGTTTCGAATCACCTGTGGGGACGTGGGCATTGAGGCTACGAATGTGGAAAAGTACCTTCGAGCTGCATTCCATCTTGCAAAGCTTTGGGACTGTGGTGGGTTCTGTGCCCGCCAAATATCTTTGCCTATTGCTGGCTAGGAAACTAACCTCGGCATTATAGTTGTTCTTCTGGACGAAGCAGACGTTTTCCTGGAGGAGCGAGATGTCCGTGATCTCAATCGCAACGCTGTTGTCTCCGTATTCCTACGAGCGCTTGAATACCACGACGGGATCCTAATTCTAACATCAAACCGGGTGGGAACATTTGACGAAGCATTTAAGTCTCGCATTCAGCTGTCTCTTCACTACGAGAACCTGACCCTGGGCCAGCGGCGAAAAATCTGGCGCAATTTTATGCATCGACTCCGAAAGGTAGACGCGGAGAATGTAGACATAGAAGATGTACTGGATCACCTGGATGAACTGGGCGCAGAAGATATCAACGGGCGTGAGATCCGAAATGCGATTACTATTGCCCGTCAACTGGCCCAGTTTAAGGAAGAAAAGTTCTGCTACTCCCATTTAACGCGTGTTCTACGGGTAAGTGGGAAGTTCGGCAAGTATCTAAGAGATCTGCGGGACGGGCTTACTGACGATTATATAAAACATGATACGGGAGTACGTCATTCATATCGGGCGAAGAGGGCCAACAGCATGTCATAAGAGCCGGATGCTGCGTAGTGGCATGCACTGAACTCTTTCCGAATCATTATATTCTTTCATTGTGTCCTCTTTTATGTCCTTTAATATGTTCAACCATCTACGCATATGGTACTTTAGCTGCTCTTCTAGTATTAGATTCCTTCAGTAACAATCAAATAAATAATTCTCTTTCAAAGACAATCCAAGGAATTACGTACTACATCCTAGAGTGGTTAACAGCCAGGCTAGGCTAGGTTAATGGGAAAATCTGTACCTGCTGCCACGTTAATAGTAAGATATAAGATTATCTCTATAAATAACCGCGGAACATGAAAGAATAGGACAATTAATTATTTCTTTATTTTCAATATTTGTTCATGGATCAGCGAGGGAATGGCTGAGCTTTATTCCTCCTCATCCTATCTTTCACCCTCCGACGTGCCCATGTCATTGGTCACACAAGGAACCAGGATGATAAATTTAGCAGGCTATACGAGGCTGGAGAGAAAGGTAATGCTGGACTGTTGCTGCCGCTAAGCCTCCAGACGAGACATTCTGGCGGGATTGAAATGATCGGTCAACCCATGAGTGCCCGTTTGTTGGAAGGCTACTCTTTCAATGATGGTGAGTGGAATGAATTGTAAAACAACAGGGATGATTTTATTCTGTTTGTATTAACATCCATGGAACCCAGCATGAAGAGAAGGAAAGGAAAACTGGAAAGAAAAAGGAAAAAGCCAGATTCGTCACCAATAATCAGAACATCTCCGACGTGTTCACATAGACGTCCCCCTCCTCAAAACATGTAGCTCGCATGATGATCCTTCTTTTGGCTGTGGTACTTTTCTTGGCCTCATCCCCTTTATCCAGCACAACACTAGCCTTAGAAATAATAGCGGTCACGGACTTGCAGGAGGGATCTGGCCCGCTGGGTGCACTATCAGTGTACATGATAGTTGGCCGTGCGACCAGCAGTATTTTACGACCCTCAAAGTCCATCTCATCTACAATATCACCATTGGAGAGGTGAAAGATCATGTAGGAGCTACCGCATTGGTACAACGGTCCTAGCTCCGACAATCGCTTTATCTTGAAGTGACCCCCCACCCGCGTTTCACAATCCTTCATGAGACCTAGGGAAGCTTCAAAGATCTCAATAAGCTCTTTTCTCCGCTTAGCCACCTGATTCCGGCCCAGGCGCTTTTTCAGGAGTAGACCGATTGGCTCACTGGCCAGCATCTCATCAGCCAGGCATGGCGCGCAGGCTAGAAGACGCTTGGCATTGTCCCGCCCAAAGCTCAGGTCGCCTGGTGCTTTGACAGAGTCTGTTGAGTTGGCCAGTCGATGGGTTTGCTCTTTCCATAGCGTTGCGAGGTTTGGGTTGGCTGAACACATATCAGTCAGTCCCATCTACCAAGTTCTGTGTTAAGGGACAACTCACTATCGAAGAACCGTTTGTAGAGGTACTGAAGCTTCGAGGCAAAGCGTTTGTCTTCGGCTTGATCCTTAGAACTTGTTTTCCCATCAAGATACTGAAACGAGTTTGAGAAAACATTTTCCATGATCGCCTTATGGATCAGGGCCTCAGCGAAGTGGTCGGCAAGACTTCGACGAGGTGGTAGCAACCCTTGGAGAACTGTCCAGTCTTCCTGGACACAATACCCCTTTAGGGCACCAATGACAATGTTCATTTCTTTTCTTGATATTGCCCCAACATCCGCAATCACCCAATTACACATCCATCCAACAACACACATGGCAAATCTTCCAAAACGTTCCCCAATCTCTTGGAAGTCAATTACCCATCTCTGACCACCCGCGTTGACGAGACGTTCCATTTCTTGGACCCCATGGGCGTGTTCTTCCTTCCTTGAGAGGACTGCTGAATGCTCCGTTTCTGAAACATTGTCCTCCTCCTCTGACAGAGAGGCCGCAGGATTTGGGGCCTCGTCTGCGTTCGTGAGACATTCGGCTGGACCAGGTGGAGAGCTTTGCTCAGGGGAGCTTTTAAGGTTGGAGGACGAAGGCTGCGCTTGCGTTTGTTCCATGACTCTTGTGTGAGCTCTAGTACACACCATAGTATGCTTGTTAACGATGGATGAATTGTGGACACGAAATGAATCTAGGAAGGGAGAAGCGTTTGAGGTCAAGTGAGGGAGAATCGTGGGGAGACACACTGAAGGGATAGGCTCTGGTAAATAACGGGAAGACAGGCCGCTTTGTTCTGGGGGGCTGAAAGGTGGCCCTGCAGTCATCCGCTCTTCATCCTTTACTCGTATCCTGCTAAATTTAGGGTTCAATGGCTGCTTATGATTTGTGAACCATTGCAGCTGCCCGGCCCGGATCCCGTCTCTCTTTATTGCTCCTCCCTAACCTTCCTCTCTCCTTTCATTGACCGTTTTGCAAGGCCCTGTCCAAGATTTTATGATTAGCCTTCATTGATTCTATATATCTCCCATTCAGCATTCATCTCTATTCACGTCATACCACGGAATTCCCTTCAATTGTCCTGTCTGCATCCCACCATAGTTGAAGACTCTTTCAAACTCAATCATCTTGGCCATGCAATCACCTTCAGTCAGAAAAAAACTGATTGTTGGGGTTGATTTTGGAACGGAAAAAACCTGTAAGACCCTCTTCAAAATCACAGATGATGAATATCCCTCTTTTAACGAATCACACATCGAATATAGGTGTGTCGTATGCTTTCTGGAACCAAAGGCGATCTAGCACGCCCGACATCATCAGGTCCTTGGTCATCGAACGCAAGCATATTTTTCCAACCATGCTGGCATACCTTCAAGACAGGAGTGTAACATGGGGCCAAGATGCACGAAACAGAAAGGATCCGGTCTTCAAGTGGCTCAAATTATTCCTCTACGACCAGGAGCACCCCATCCTGCGCGAGACCCCGAATCCAGCATTGCCAGACGGTGTTTCATCCGAGCAGCTTGTTTCCGACTATCTTCGTCAACTCTATACAGAGATACAGAATCTGATTGTCTCTCCACGTCGTTCGGCCGAACTCGGGACCGATTTTTGGTTTAGCCAGCCAGCTAGCTGGTCTGCCGACAACCAGAGGGTTTTTGCCAAAGCAGTGCGAGACGCAGGCTTCGGGTCCAAAGAAGCTGACAACCTTTTTTTCCTTACCGAAGCAGAAGCTGCTGCTCTATATTTCATACATCAGAGGGGATCTGAAGCGGTCAGTGAAAAGCCTGCCAAACCCCACCACCCTAGTTTCTTTCCCCTCCACATGGCCGATCAGCTAACTGGCGTTGACTCGTGAAGAAGGAAGATGACCTTATTCTAGTATGCGACGTCGGTGGAGGAACCACCGTAAGTGCCCGAGCCCCTACGGGGATGTCATTGGCTATTTTCGTCGGCTACAAACTGACTCGACTGCCGGAAGGATGTCGGTGCTTTTCATATTCAGGGGACCGGGTCAAATACCGTGTACGAACCACTGGGAAGATCGTCAGGTATGTATCGTCTTTGAAGCCAGTTTGACATTTCAAGGCAGTAGCTAACACTTTTCAGGGGTTAATTCCGGCGTCGCAGCATTGGATGCTGCGATCCGTCAACACATGAAGGAGCTGCCCCCACACATCTTTGGGCTCGTTAGGCCGCTGAACGAGGCCCTCCTGGATAGAATATGTGACCTCAAGTACCGATTCCATGGCACTGAGGAGGATCCCATCCCGACTGATGAGACCGGCGTAATCACCGTTCCCCCAGATGTGCTGAAGAATTCCCTGAACTCCAGGGTGGTCGATATTATCGACCTGATAACGGCCAACATCGTTCCACCGCGCCCACTAGAGCCACAAGTCTCGGTATGCTTTCCTGCACCTACCAACTATCAAATAGTACAAGCTGACAGTTCTTTTACCAGGATGTCTTCCTCACGGGTGGTGGGAGTCGGGTACCGTACTTGGTCGAGCAGATACGACAGAGATTGCAGCATACGGTTACCCTACATCGATTGGACTTATACGAGCAAGTTTGAATACACCCATTGATGCCAGACTGTGAGCTAACTGTTATATAGGCCAAGATCAGTGTCCTGAGGAGCGACTCGTCGAGGGATACTCGGCAGGGCGATCCCCCGCCTGTATTTTGACGCAAGCTACGGTCTGCAAGCTGCGGAGGGGGCTATCATCCGTGAGGGGAGCATCAACCGAGAGCAATCCTCCCCGCACTGGATAATTCGCAAGGTTTGTGTTGATTTGCTTCATCTCGCCCGAGCAAGATGATCTCAATCCAGACTGACATCTCCGTGATCGAATCTCCAGGGCCACGCAGTTGAAAGTCAGCACCAGAATGAGCTTTTTTTCGACATCCATTATCGTGCTGGAAATGCGCCCATAACCATCATAAATCTTCTTCGACATACAGCCGAGTTTCCTGATGCTAATATGGTGGTGAGTATTTTGAGCTTTCTTTTTGCCCGTCTCTGAACATCGTATTTGGTCTGCGCGCGTCTCGCTGATATCGCAAATGAAACCATAGAATCCGAACGGATGCCACCACTCAGTTTCCACCTACAGGGGTTGAACCTCTCTTGCCTATGCGCGTAGGTGATGAGTACAGCGTGAAAGTGCAGATTACGTGGGAAGTCAGATACTCGGAGAGACAGGCCATTGTTAGATTCACGGCCCGGTCGCAGAACGCACTACTTGGTGAGCAGGATGTACCTCTGGGTGGATGCCGTTTGGTAGAGTGAGTTTGCCATTTTGTTTCCTCTCTTCTCTTTCCTCTCTTCTCTTTTCTCTCTCTCTTTCCATATCGCTCCTCTGGTGACCCTACTTCTGATAATCCTTGGTTCCCCCTAATACGCATGCCGATCATTCCATCCTTTATATTTCGGGTTTTTTCATTCCTCAAGACTATCAGTGTGCCCATAGACTGTCTGCAAACCCCATATACCTGTCGCGCTTAATCATAGAGTACTCTGAATTTTAGCATACAAAAGTCCTTTTTAATACAAGAGGAGAATGAATGTTCTAGCCTCGTCGTCGTGAACACACGCACTAGATCTCACCGTAGATAAAAAACCATCGAAACCGGCATCAAGACAAATGACCATCCCTCCAGATCCTTCAATCAGTCTACCTAATGATTTGTTTGACAATATACTTCCAGCCCCATCCCATATACACTGTCACCAAAGTCTACCCGCACCCTGACACGTCCACGATAAATCACAGCCTACCTACACCACCCGATTGAATCAGCCATACGAAACAATCATTTCATCTCTGGGGATCTAGACTACAAGGACCTTCTGGACTAGTATATGTGACGGATCACCTGGCCCCGCTGCACTCTAACCCTGACAGTATCTTGTGCCCGACACTGACGGGTAAACATTCCACAGCCGATATTCAACCAGCACACCCGCCAATAATCATCCGTGAGCATTCATCCGACTCAGCCGGCCAACCTCGTGAGCCGAGGCAATGCAGGAAGTAAGTTGGTGTGCCTTGGTCTGATGATCGGGTTCGTTTGTTTCAGAAGGAAAGGGAAGGGAAGGGTTCAGTTGACCGAGGCCGAAGTTTATCCATTACCGTACTTCCAGACAATTGTCGAACCGCATAGCAGCAGCAGGAACATCATAAAAACTAGCATTAATCCCGTATTCTCATACTTATTACCTCTACCCTCTCAGTTCCATCGTTAAACAGAGAATCGGGTTTAAGAGAAACAGAACACCTATCCCGACATAGGCCAACCCCGTCTTCCGAAGCCAAGAAAGACTCAAAAATGGGCAGCCCTAAAAGCCATCCGCGAACCCGCGCTAGACTAAAATAAAACCCGCGCGGCGCCCGCCTGGACGCAGATTGATTACCACCCCAGCAAATTAATCTATCGGCGACAGACCCTGGTTTGCCCCGTGCTTGACCGATGCCTAGCCTCACCAGCCTAACTACCACCAAGGATGGTCGACACATAACGGTTCCTGCATATGATACCGCAGAATTTGTCGCAGGATGAGACCGAGAACCAACCAAAAGATGCAATTCGGGGTTTTCTGGGAGAAATTCTGGAAAGACTAGAATTAGTGGGGTTTCAGATGTGACTCCTGATTCCTGTTCCTGTTCTTTGTCCCTAATTTAACCTTAATAGACTTTGTTATACTCTATGCTAGACTAGATTAGACTACGGAGTAGAACAGATACCCATGAACCCGGAAGGAACAGCCCTGGTATGGTGAAACCGACAGACTCCACACGGGGGTGATCAGTCGATCCAGTTCAATTTGGCATTCCCTAACCGACCCAAAAATGATCAATCTTTGGTAAATGACCAATGTCGCAGAAAACACCACTGCCATGTATATAAACCAGCTTCAAGTCCAAGTTTCTCCTATCCAGCAAGTGCAGTGCACCGCCCATCTCATCCCATCCTTCCTCCCATCCTCAGTCACTCGTTGAGCAGCGCTCCATACACTCGTTATACATACACCCCCAAATCATCTATATACATAAACACAACCAAAATGAAATCCTTCATCACTCTCTCCCTCCTCGCCACGGCCCTAGGCGCCCCCACCTCCACCCTCCAGGCCCGTCAATTCGACCTCTCCTCGTTGACCTCCGGCCTGTCCGCCCTGACCTCCGGCTCGACTGGAAGTACCGGCACTGGATCAGAAACGACCACCGGATCCAGCGGCCTCAGTGCTCTGGCCTCGCTGTTCCCGTCGTCATCCACTTCCAGCACTACGGGCAGTACCAGCGGTACTAGCGACAGCAGCAGCAGTAGCAGTGATGGGCTCAGCAGCCTGCTGAGCATGTTCTCCAGCAGTGGGAGCGGTATGATTTCCCCACCTTCAAGAGTAATGAGTATATACAGTAAGCTAATGAAAAGAAAAGGCTCATCCACCGAGAACGGCGTGACCCAACACAGCGGTAGCTGCAAGAAACTCACCTTCATTTTCGCCCGCGGCACCACCGAGATCGGCAACATGGGAACCGTCGTCGGTCCGGAGGTCGCGAGCGAATTGGCCTCCCTGACTGGGAATCAGGTCACCGTGCAGGGTGTGAATTATCCTGCTGATTGGGAGGTGAGCATTCCCTTTTCCTTCCCTTCACTTTTCATGAATGATATGTAGAAGAAGAGGATATTAATGAAGATGATAATGGTATAGGGCAACGTCTCCCTCGGCTCCTCGGGTGGTCCTACCATGGCCTCGTACGTGAAGGAAGCGCTGCAGCAGTGCCCCAACACCAAGGTCGTCTTGGGTGGATACTCGCAGGGTTCGATGGTGGTGCATTACGCCGCGAACCAGCTCAGCGCGGACCAGTTGTCTGGTGCGGTGTTGTTCGGTGATCCGTTGAAGATGGAGAGCGTGGGTAAGTTGTCGAGCAGTAAGGTCAAGGAGTTCTGTGCTAGTGGGGATCCCGTTTGCGAGAATGGTGTCAATGTCATGGCGCACTTGACTTATGGCAGTGATGCGAAGGAGGCAGCGCAGTTCTTGGTCCAGGCTGCGGGGGTTTCTTCTTCTTAAACAGCTTTCTCTATATTTGATCTAGGGTGGTGGGATGGTAGTACTACTTATTTTGGATGGGGAAGGGTTCTGTTTGTGGTTGGGATGGTTGGGTATGGATATGAATGTGAAGATGGATTATTATAGTATCTAGAAATAGTGCTATAAACAGACATCTACTATCTCTCTATCTATTTATTGAAGGATCTAGAAAATCTTATATCCACCCGGCATCAACACTTGGAACACACTGTGAGGATCATACTTCTGGGCAATCGTCTGCAACTTGGCCAGGTTCTCCTGTCCATATCCATCAAAGATATCCTGGAACCATGCCGCATCACCCATGTAGTTGAAGCTGTCATACAGGCCCGCCTCCTGCGTGGCATTGTTGATCTTGTAGGTGGTCTCGACCACCCAGTCGCCAACAATCTCATCATACTCAGAGCCAATCCACTCAACGACCTCAGCGTAGCAGAGATACACCTGGTCCTTATCCAGACCAAGAGCATTTCCACCACGGGACTCGGAGGCCTCGAGCCACGAGGCACCAATAGGCTGCCAATCGAGCTCGATGATGGAGATATTAGCGGTGGGGATCTGCGCGTACAGAGAGGGCAGCTGGGCAGCGAAGGTGCTGTTGATGATGCTGATACCGCGGTAGAGGTCATCGTAGGTGGTTGCCTTGATGGTACCGGCGACGAAGATGTCACTGCAATGTTTATTAGTATACATGTAGCTAATAAGGTAGTTGGAATAAAGTGTGGAGGCGGATGTGGCGCGTACTTAATATGCGGTGTAACCAGCGCTCCCGTCTCAGCCGCAAACTCCGCCAAGGTCTTGAATCCCAGGGTGCTGCTCACGGCCGGAATGTCGGTGAACGGCTTGAAGATCTCCGGGTAGCTCTCCGTGGCGCTGTCGTAGAACATAATCACCGATCCGACGCTTGTGTTGCCCTCCGGCACGACGGCGGGGACGATGTGAGTCTTGGGGTCGGAGATGTTGGCCGCATAGGTGGCGGATGCCTGTATACCATGTTAGCATGTATCCTCTCCACTGTAACAATAACAGTAGGAATAAGGGTAGAGAGTATACCTCCAAAAACTGATCAATGTACTCCGCCGAGACAGTGTACGTTCCAGCCCAGACCTTAGTCGACGGAATAGTCTCCATGTCGAAGCGAGTCACCAGACCAAAGTTGCTGCTTCCACCCTTCAGCGCCCAGAAGAGATCGCTGTGGCTGGTGGCGTTAGCCTGGACGATGGTGCCGTTCGCAAGCACGACCTCGTAGTTGATGACGGTGTCACAGCCGAATCCAACCTGGTTGCCGTAGAAGTTAATGCCGCCGGCGAGCAGCAGGCCGGGGACACCGACGGGGCCGAGACGGCCTCCGGCTACGGCGAGGTCGTATGTTTCAAGGTAGTCGTAGACATCGCCCCATCTGTTGTGATTAGGTTATTTTCAATATGGTTTGTTGAAAGCGGGGGAAATAGGTACCTGTAGGCCGGGCCAACCGAGACAACGGACTGATCATCGGACAGTTCAAGGGTCGTCAGGTTGGACATGACGATGAGGACACCCTTGTCGATGTTGTTCGATCCCTGTAATTCTATCAGCACTGCACATATTTTAGATCCGAATGTATGGTGACATACCCTGATTCCCATATGTCCACCACCACGCACAGCAAACTGCGCCTCAGCGTCTACCAGCGCCTTGACACCCTGGCTCAATTCCTCCGCCGACTGGGGCCGGAACACGCATCCAGGCGACATGATCTCGGTGTTGGACCAGAAGTTCTGCGCCTCATACTGGTAAACAGTGGAGCTAGGCGCAAACACTGCGCTGGACAGAGACTTGTTGAGGGTCTTACAGCCAGCCGAGGTGGCCGTGGCGGCAGCCGTAGTGGCCGCCGCCGTCAAAGGGAGAAGGGAGGCGATGCGCATGGTGTATGCTACTTGACAATGGCACTGCGGAGAGAAGCAAAACAAAAGGAAGGGGAAGAGGGAGCTTTAACTGCGGCCCAGCCGGTGTGGAGAGCTAGCTAGGCTGGTAGCTGACGTGCCTGGCGGTAGTAGTGGTGGTGGAGATGCACCGGACAGCAGACTAGAAGCCCTTGGCAACGGGAGCCGGATAGCCGAGGAAGGAAGGATTATTAGAAGAACATGCCGTGCAGAATGGGGAGAGGGAGGGGATGGCTGGCCGCCACCGGGGAGGAACTGGAATCGGCGGTTCCTGACTGGAATCTGAGAAATTCGTCTCGGGCAAACTCCCGAGAGCAGACTAGTTAAGAGGGTAGTGGAGACGTTAGTGGTGGTTTAGTGAGGGTTAGTGAGGCTTTAGTCCGCAACACTAGGAGAACTTTTCCACCGATGCTCCCGACAATCATTCCAGACCAGACCAGATCGGATGAGAGGGTTTCCTGTTCACATTATGGATCTTTAACGGTCGCATTATGTCTATAACTCGTGTATACAAAGGAAACTAGAAAGAAATTATGCTCCAGCATGTCTGGTGTCTACCACGTTGAACTCCACTGTGCGGAGGATCCCGTCTTCCCCTTCACACGCTTTGGCCGGCAGAATGTGCTCCTCGCTTGCATTGTCGGTGCCCCCTTGCAATCGCGTCGAGTATTGCCGACTGTTGTTATTGAAGTCGGGCTGGTCGCGCGGAATCGAATTCAATGGATGGCCATACTTTCGTGATCCTGATTGGCCGTATGCGTAGGACGACAGGCCCAGCAGCCTGGGGAAGTATCGTCGCACAAACGGGCGCATGGCTGTCATGCAGCCACCGGTGATACCCAAGTTTAATTCAATTGTGCACCATAACAAGGCGTTGGTTGTGGCCCCTGATCTGTTAGCTGCGCTGATAGGGTAGGTGGATAAGAGCGACGTACAGGTTAGGTCGGTGCTGTTCATTAGAACATATAGACTTGCCAGTCGGATACAACTCACGATACCGACCCTGTCATTGTTAGATCCCAACTTCAACTAGGGTAAATCCCAATTAAGACTTACGAGCAGCCCATCGCCAGCATAGACCCGACAGCGACCTTTTGTCGCGCCGGCATCTGCAATCGCCGCAACCACGGACTATCCCTCGTCAGCATCTATATCATGAACCCCACAGAGAGATGACATACATCGGCACCAACACCGTCGCAAAATCAGTAAAAATTCCCAGTCCCGCATTGGCAAAATAAAACACCGGCCTGTTCATGCAGTTCGCCGGCAATTTCAAGTCCCACGCTGCCGCGATCGGCGAACAGCTAAACACATTGGCCAGCACACTGGCCACATTGTAGCCCACCGCGATGAAAACGATCGACCACACGGCTAAGCGGAAGCCATGACTGGGGAAGATGCGCAGGTAGAAAACGCAGACGGAGACTTTGGTGAACCCTGTCCCCGCGCAGTAGATGATGGCCGCGACGACGTTGAACTGTAGGTAGGGTAAGCTTCATCCGGACCAGTCAACAGACAAACAAGGAAGGATACCTTAAGAAACCAAGGGGTCAGATGATCCATGGGCACGTCCCACATATGCTTGCCCAAGCCAAAATCGAGCACTGTTGGTCAGCGGGGCCCGACACCGTTCATGGCTATCAATGGATCACTTACTCTTCAGAGTGACTCCAGTCATAACCGTCGACAAGATCTGCTATGGGGTCAGCTACGTGTATCTAGTACACTGGGCCAAAAATCAGATCATCCGTACCGCTGCGAAGATCATCAAGTCTAGTGTTCAGTTAGCTTGATTGTTTGCATACTTCGTCCTGCGCACCCCTCTGTAGCACTTACAGTCATCCCAGGATACACTGCGCACAACAACCACACGCGTCCAGGTGCGCACTATCAGCGCTATCAGCGCTATGGGGAGAAACACACAATTCACCACGACAAACTTGGCGCCGCAGTAGGGCGGATCGACGAAGTTGGAAACCTGGCCAGGAGGCGGCTCCATGGCCGGGATAATGGTGCTATTCGCCATATTGCAAAGCAGAGCTACTCATGGTAGCGCAGCAACAGCAGCAACAGCAGCAAAAGCAACAGCCCAGATCACTCCGGGGCCAGGACGGCGAGGGGAGCGGCTCAAATAACCCCAACAGCTCGACTCAGAATAGCACGGACTGATCCTGGTGGAGATGCTGATTACTATATGTAGGGTGGCATTGCATTAGGGAGCTGAACTGAGCTGACCTCAAATCTGGGACGCGGTTTGAAGGTGCATTATCCCCGAACGACGGACGGAAACCTTAAAGTCTTGGGCAGGGCGATTGGCGGGTGTCTGGATTCGGTTTGACTTTTGGAGTCTGGCAGTCGCGCAATCCGGACGGAGAGGGTCGGAAAGGTGGAGGAGAAGAGGGGGAGAAGTCGTCTAGAGCAGGAAACAAGATTTGATCATCATTGAAGGAAGGGCTTCGATGCAGGGAATGATGATTCCAGTGCTGTTTGGTGTCCACATCCACCATTGGGAAGAAGCAATCATGATGCCTGTCTGGGAATGGTGGATGATCAGAATGGCGCGGAGCGACGTCTCAAACAAGTATAGTTAGCTGGATTGATCAGAGTTTCCATTATTATTTCCATTTGGTGTGACTGAGTGACTGCGTGATTGTGTGCGATCGTGATTTCATGGCGCTCAGGCCCTCCAGGTACACGCTGGGCATCGTGCTTCATTCTATCCACTTCCTCGTGGGTACTCCATACACACAGGTTAACACTTGCAGGGCCAGGTTCACCATGACACTACTTGCTAGACTGGCAGTAGCATGTTCCCTCGGGGTGGAGTCAACCAGATAACCGAGGCGCGTGAACACTGAACAGAGCATATCCTCCCGCAAAGGATGAGTGATCGTCCATGATAGGGGTTGGTTTGCCCCTAGCTGTACTACTCCCTCGCCACCTCTTCCAAAGACACTTAATGTCTATAACAGAACACATTATTATTATTTTTGTTTGACACCAGTCATTATGACAAGGAAGCAACTTACCAGACCCAGACCCATGGGCCTGGCACCCATCATCTCGGCAACCGAGCCAATGCCGGGGAGGGTTTTATTGCCATCTGCCCCGTCGAATACGAGACAAGTGCCCCGAACTAGCCAACAACTCAGTATAGCCCAGCCCACGATTTATTTAGCTAGACCATTTAGATAATTATATTAATTGAAATTACAAAGTTGTCTTCCTCGAATCACCATGATGATTGTCTACTCCATAGCTTGCGAGGCAAAAGTGCCACAACGCACTAAACATTAGTTCCGCACCAACCAAGCAGTGAAGTGGATCATAGTCGGTTGCTCGGTTGTGCAAAAAAGTTTAACACTTATCCCTGGGTGATCCTTCGGGCGCGCACATGGATTGATTATCACCCTCCCCCTGCTGTTCCTGAAGAATTGATTTTAAATAGTGCGGGTGTGAATTTGTAGGATCAAAGATGGGGGGCACATTGAACTTACATTGGCGATAGCTTCATATTTATTTGAAAATGGGAAAATGGTCACCCCGTGTGGAGACTACTGGCACCTAATATAATAGACTTTGAAAGCACGGAAAGGAAATCTGGTCCGGAATAGATAGTTCCCCAACTAGATAACCTCCACTAAACCGAACCCTACAAGTGTCTCTTCTGGATGACATTTCCGCGGCGATACCCGGTCTACCCTATCTGCCCAGACCAGAGATACAGAGTGGACACTTGGCGGAGTGACTTTCTGCGTCATCATCTTATTTCAAATGCCGTGGTCTAATCACTATCTAGTATCTACTAAGCGAAGGACAAGATCATTATTCATAGCATCAACTACCGAGAAATGAATCTAAGACACTCCGACAAACCGTTTCATGGGCCCATACCGCCCCGTCACCTCGCGTAGTCCAGCGCCCCAAAGAAACAACGGCACCGCCAGCAATATACTCGCCCCCTGAATCGCTGTCATTTCTCCAAACACCTTTGCGGCGCCCTGTTTCGCGATCCAATCCGCCGCATACAGCGACAACAACATACCGATCGTATTCCGAATCACAAAAATAATCACCAGTGCTTCGCCCGTGATCTGAAGCAGAGAAACACCAAAAATGTTAGCATGTTTATGTTCACGTTCATGTTCATGTTCTCCCGCCAACCACGCACTATCCAACGCCACCATGCAAGGGGGTAAACTCACCGGCTTATAACAATCCAACGAATACGTGACCGCCACATTAGAAATAGCTGCCACTCCAAACGCTTGCATGGCGTATCCCACCGCCGCGCCAGCCCAGTGTGTCTGATTCGCCACACACAGTCCGAAGATGAGGATCCCCGCGGGTCCGATCGTGCCGGGGATGATGATGGCGGGGAGTCGGTACTCGGGGAGTCGTTGGCCCCCGCGTCGTCGGGTATAATATGTGGAGAGGATGTCGATGAGACGTCCACCCAGGTAGAAGGCTAATAGGGCGCCGATGAAGCCGGAAAGGGAGAGGAGGCCGATACTACCTGCGGGCCAGTTATAGGGCGGGGCTGTGAAGGTGCGGGATGCGGTGAGTTGGACGACGATGTTCCTGTACTCATTAGCTTGGGTTTGGGGAAGAGAGCATAGGGGATGGGGCTTACCATCCTACTGAAATACCGATGGTGAAGGACGACCATAGGAGTTGAGGATACATCGCGTTACGGAGAATGTCCCATACAGTTTGGAGGAACGATGCATCCGGGTTGTATCCCCGTGTGACGGAAAGCCAATCCCAGTATCTCGTCTTCTGGGAAGTGGCATGTCTCCTGAGATAAGTTGTTTCGCGAACGGTGAAGATAGCCACCACGAAGACCGCCCCAACTGCTATAGCGAGGAAGTAACACATCCAGCGCCAGTTCTCGTCCTGTACCAGGTATGCGTTGATGAGGGGTCCGAGGAAAAGGCCGCCGGTCAAGGCAAGATGGAATATCATCAGATAGTGGCCGCGTTCGTGCGGAGCGACCATGTCGCTCACCACGGCTGGGACGGTGGCATCGGCTGCGGCTGCGGCGAAACCGGAGATGATGCGTGAGGCAAGCAGCTCGCCGTAGCTGGTGGCGCGAGATGACCAGACATTCATCATGGAGAGGAAGAGCATGGAGATGAGATAGACGGGGCGTTTGCCGATGACGCGCATCAGTGGGACCCAGAAGATGTTGCCGACGCCGAAGAGGAAGACATTGAAGCAGACGAGCTCGCCGGCTTGGGTTTGAGAGACGTGGAATTCAGCAATAATGGCCTTGGTTGCGACGGTGAAGTTGCTGCTGTTGACATTGGCGAGGAAGGTGTAGAAGCAGATGGTCAGGTAAGTGGTGAGTTTGGCAGCGGTGGACCAGTTCTGAGATGTTAGCAAGTACACAGGGTGAGTTCGGCGTAGCGGAAGGCGATCACGATCGTACCTGAGGATCATTAGGGGCCGGAGTCATGGTTTCTTTTTCATTGGAGGGATCCGGGAGGCCATGCTCCTCCGCGGCGTGATCAATATGGCCAAAGCTGGCTTTGTCGTCTTCCATGGTGATGATGGTAAAAGGGCAAAGGAATAGGGGAAGGGAGTACTTCACTGGAGCTCAGTAACAGCTGGCATAGGACCGGCAATTATGTAGGTCATCATCACAGGGTAGATCCTGCGGAGTAACTTGGATCCCTTGGAAGACCCGGTGTCGGGATATCCGAGAAGCCCTCGAATCTGCTGCAGCCCCAAGACCAACAAAACAACAGAATCCCCCCGGACTGACTTCGCTTGGGTCCTAGTTACCCCGCCTTTCGCTACCCCGGAATGAGCGAGCTTGGCCTCTTGGCTCGTCTCTGCAGTTCCCTCTCGGGTCATCCGAGAGGATGTGAGAACGAAGCTAGGGTTTAGTCAGTCACCGGGCAGCTCGTTTGGCAATTAGACTGACTGGCCACGACAATTCCGGGATTTGCGTGACACGAGCTGGGATTCTTGCAGGTGGCGTGAAATCCTCGGAGCGACATCATCCATCTGGGCAACCTTAGACGGACATCCTATCACATGTCAGTGGTGAGTCAGGACTGTTTGACAGTACTAAATCACGATCTAGTATCAGATGGGACAAGATATCCAATCACCGATCGGGGAACATGCTGTTACTTTCAATGGGCGACTGCCCGGATGTTGGACTGAACCCCGTCTCATTTATTCCTCAGGCATGAATAAGGCACCAAGGTCGCGCTGGTACACCCAAGATACTTTGTTAATGCTCATAATGTCCTCAGGGAATAAATTGGGACTACTACCCATCATCTTCAGCATTCAGGATATAGTGTATCTTTTCGTTCTACCATGCTTTGTTGAGCAATTTATGTATAGCATAACACACAACACGTAGATGCTATCTCGGCTTTCACCGCCGAATTCATCAGAACTGTCCAGATGAGCAACAATAAGTTAGATGTATATTCAAGACATCTAGTTTGATTATATATTTTCATTGTTGGGTAGTCCTGGTGCTCCCTACTGGAATCATGCAGCGCTCACCTCGCGCGACAAAGAAAAATGAAATAAAGTAAAATACGAAATATATTTTGTTAATATAACATCTCCCATCCAGTTACTAGCCTCGAGACTGCCCACACTTTGTCTCCTATTTCTTTATGGAATCAAAGGGGATAAAGAAAAGCAACCCCTGAAGTTTGAACAGCTCCGAAGTCATCAGCTTCGAAATGCATGAGCTCTTGGTTGTCATCCTAGGGTGTCATCAAGTAAAGCAAGTTAATGTATAAACAACTAATATACTATCTAACAACATAAAAACGCTTGCAATCGTCTATCGTACATAATCATCAGCATCAGCAGCACAAGTCCGACCGTCTCATTCGCGGCCTCCCATCCACAGCCTCCCTCTTCCAAACATAATACTCGCATAACGTCCGGCGCCGCCGAGTCCGTTCGTCCCCGGGTACCTCTTCCGCCTCCTCGATCTCCTTATCATGGCCGCTATCCTTATCGTGCACGATATGCCTCCATCCCTCGATGACTTCCTCCACCTCCGCCATATTTCCAACCCCGAGATTGTAGGGCCGATAGTCCGGGTCCCGCTTGAGCCGCTCAATCACGCTGTAGTGTAGCTTGGCCCCTTGTGGCAGCGGCCGTCGCAACCCCCCGACATGCCATCGTGTCGATTGCACCCTTCCATCTGGAGCCACTTTGGCGCGCTTGATGGGCAGACACTCGAGCACTCGCCAGAATAACGTCTCTAGAGCCTTGCCCGAGTCATAATGGAGGGAATCATGCAGGATAGCTCGCTCAGCCTGGTGTATCACTTCTGGGTTGCTGTGCTCCTGCCTTCTAAAGTCAAAGCAGCCGAGCTTGTGTAACTGTTCAGGCTCGTAGGTAAGCCCGGCCTCGATGGATTCCTCGACCATCCACATCAGGGGGATTTGGCTGGCTACATAGTCTCGGCCCAACTCACGTGGCCATCCACCACCAACATCGCTATGGTCGCCAGCAAAGTAAACCTCCTCGAACTCCGTCTCTGGAGACGCCGTCAAGTCGCTACCCCAGAACTCAATGTCCGCCCGCTCAGCCCATGTACTCACCCGGCCGATCCTCCCATGCGCCCGTAGCTTCTCGAACAGCACTGGTTGGAATTTGATTCGACGTTCATCAATGCTAACTGCATGTCGCATGATTCGCGGTTTCGGCTGGATTCGCATGTCTCTATGATCATCGTAGATGTTGAACTTGGCCACGCTGTTGACTGTATCAAACAGCCCAAGGAAATGCACGCGGCCCACGGATCGACACATCGTGTCGCGGCACATGCGGAGAAAGTACTCGGCCTGTTCAGATTCCTTGCCGCTGTTGGCAAACTTGTACGATGTAAACGCTTCCCAGACAAGTGGCATGATCTCCTCGTTATCGGCTGAAATTAATCCAATAAAGTCAAGCATCTCGTTGAGGAACCGTGCCGTGTAGGCCCCACGCGAGAACCCAAACAGGTAGATATGCGACCCGGGAATCCAGCGGCGAGCGAGGAAACGGTATCCATAGATGACATGCTGGGCGAACGAGGTCGCGAGCGCTTCATCGATGATCGCGTTTGGGGCAATGTTGCTAAAGGGACGGACAGCCGCGTTGGCGAAGGTCCCAGGCCTGATGTCCTCTCCAATACCGGCTGTCATTATGTCAATAATTGATAATACCACCCAAGTGAGGCAACATACGCTGGTAGTAGCAGTCTAATCACGTCAGCCAGTGTCCAGTACAGTTATCAAGGTAACTCACATCGATTTTCTTTCTTGCGGTCTAGCATGCGGAAGATCTTGAGAATGTTGCTATCCCCGCCATCCACGCGGAACGTGTTCCCTGTTCCATCGAAACAGAGAACCAGCTCTCGCGTCGGACGGTCTGGCGGGCACAAGCAGTTGCATGGGTCGAGACTCATTTTGTTCTAGTTCGTAGCAGCTTGGAGTCTCAAAGGACCAGTGCCGAGATTGGGCGACGTTGAGCTTAAAAGGGCCAACATTGCCTGACAGCTCTGCTCCCACCATCAGCTGAGGTGTCCAGAGAGTTGGCAGTGTCGGGGCACTGCCGATCCTGTGGGGATAACAATAGCCTGGCAGGATGGCTGATTGACTCACCGCATATGCAGGGCTTAGCTCGTTGTGAACCATGAAGTCAGCTTCATGTATGAATTCAGCTGATCGACAGACGAATGGCAAGAGTTTGCTGTAGTTCGTGCTCGGACGATGCCTTACCGGGCCCTCTGGGGTCACTTGAGTTTGAGTCAATCTCGAGATAGACATCCAATCACCTTTCATCGCAAGAAAGGCTGAAGTCCAATCAGTCTGATATAAGCCTAGATCACCACTAAGACACATGGTCAGCATCGTGGCGCAATTCGTGTTCGAGCCTGGTTGGTGATCTTCAGGCGTCCAGTAAGCAGAATATGACCAATCACAGAATATGATGTGATACTGCATTTTTATAGACAATATATGCATGCATCGATGTTCATTGCAGAACCCAATCGGCAGTTTTAGCGACCCATTGTTGACCAGAAAGGCAACTCGTGTGCCGAGTATCCTGCTTCTACGGGGGTCTCCGGACTCACCAAGTCACCCAGTCAACTGCTTCAAATTGCCTCTATGGATTCACGAAAGCCCTGATTTGCCCTTTTAGAGAACTCTGAAAGGATGGCTTCAGCTCTTGGCCTACTCGCATTGGCAAGGTCGGCCAACGCCACTCTGCCTTGCATCTGCACAAGGCCGCCTTCCGGTGCAAGTGCGTAATCAGGTCAACCGTCTGTGTAGTGATATCACGACAGGGCAGCCGAGCCTTCCCGGGAAGAGGTGCCCGGTCTTGTCTGTCTCAGAAGTATGGTTATATGGCGCAGTCGTGGCGAAGGAGACAGTCTACTTTCGAGCCGTCGAAATTACTTTGATCATGCTTCAAGTCAGCATCAGCTAGACATCGGAAGGACGACCTTAATTCGCAACCACTCTTCTCAGTGTTTTCTTATATATATTGGGGTATTACTCTGCATGCGCATGTGCTAGGGAATATGCCTCCTGTAGCTGTAGCTGTCAAATGACACTCAAATGTCATCCTGTCGGCTATTAAGGGAGGTCGACAAGTATCACCCCTGATAAAGACATTGATATGGAATGTCTGATTGTCCCCAAAACGCTGTGTGCTAATGGTCCGCTTCCCATTAAGTGTAGTAGAGAGTGTAGCTGCCCAATGCTATTGTTCCAGGTGATAAGCTCAGTTTGAGTTGGCTAGTTTTGCTCCACTTTAGCGACTGGACCAAAGAATGGATGCCATGAATCGAGTGGGACGAGCCGGTCGATCATTTTTTACTGGGTATCATTCGTCCTCGCAATCAGCTGCTCGTGATAACCAAGGATAATCGGTTGAAGCAACTCAGGCTAGACACGTTGCCGGTCGCTGAGACAGTCATTGTGGCGATATGGCTATTAAGTCTGTTACTTTCCATTTTAAATGGATCAAGGTATACTGCTTTGATGCAGTAACATATCCTAATGTGATGATGGAAGCTAAAAGCATAGAGTAGGAGTAGAGGAGAGAGAGAGAGAGCGCGAGAGAGAGAGAAGGGGAGGAGGATGGTGTTGACTCCTCAGGCATCAAGAGGAGAGCCTCCGCCAAACGACCAAACAGTGCAAACACCCACCGGTCCTCGATGATCTCACCTCTCCCCTTCTCTACCTCCATCCCTAAGGATCACCAAGCACTCCCGATTGCACAATGGATATCTACAAATTTGCTGCTGATTTTACTAGCGTTGGTGTGGGCGTTGTCACAGTGTTCTTCCTACCAGCGATCTTATAGAATACCTTCATACCATGACTTCAAGCGGCCCTTTCTTCTAGCATCTCAATTTCAACAATGATACCTCATCCTACGTTCTTTGGCGTGTCGCATTCACCAGAGGACATTAAGCCTGTTAGCTGCAAAGGCTATGCCACCAGATTGCAGAATCATGGCCTGGAGTCTGGTGTGGATATGGTGTGTTACCCCCGCCTATCTACCCTATTGCCTCAACATTTACTACAGAGACAACAGACGTCGGGTCACTATCTAACTGACCGGACAAAGTAAACAAATAGGCTATACCTACCAACACTGCCCCTCCAAGATACCCAGAGGCTCCGAGATGTCTTACTTTTGACATGGGGTCAATCACCCCTGCGCCGCAACGTACAAAATAGGCATGCTGATTACGGATCGCTCTGAAACCGTCGAGAACAGGCCGAATGAACCATCATAGGGTGCAGATATTTACTGCCCAAGAGGATGTACGTAATCATATAGGTTACTCAGGATACTAACAGCAGTAAAGCCATAGCAGAGTATTGTTGCCGAAATTCGACTTTGGAGCATGTTTTCACGGGGTGGGAAAGACAGGGAGCAAGTCAGCAGTACACTAAGTTATGGTTGGAGATGACGCCAGGGAACTACATCGGTGATTGTCACCTGATAATGGATCCCTGGGGAGATGGATATAGCTCTATGAGAGGGAAACACTACCTACCGACCTACCTCGTCTTGCTCAGGATTCGCCTTACCGAACGACAACCTAAACAACAAGCAGCAACAACAGCAGGAAAACAAGGAACACACGGAGCCACCAACCAGCCAATCACCACCAGCCCCAGCTTAAGGAATAGAATTAACCACAAGGCTCAAAGCTTAGAAGGTACCACTACCGTACCATACCCGACTAACCAGGACACCAGAAGAAAGCGTTCGTAAACCAGAAAGATACCAAACCAACCATCAAAGCTCTCCGTGATATTACACAAATCCCAAGGTAAAAAATAAAAGCAAGAACAACAGCATAGCCACGAAGTCAATCCACGGACATGACCGAATAGATAGAACCAACCCCAAGAAACCAGGCACGCCTTAGGCCAGGACCATGATCCATGGTTCAGATAACCAGGTCCAAGGGGTAACCAAAAGTAGAGTGAAAACCCGTGGGTTTATATCTCATTATCTGATACAGTTAGAGAAACTCAAGTAAACAGGTTTATTCTTGGTCAATTATGCCAATGTATGTAGGCGACCGCTGTCCATTAGACAGCCTTCAATCGATTGCGCGGCGATAGCAAGTCACCTTACTGCCCACCCCGACCGCTCTTCTTACCGCCCAAAGCGGCAGAACTCTCTCGACCTCGCAACGAAAAGTGCGGATATAGACGGCTATAGACGGATATATTTTTCGTACAGCTCCGAAAAACTGAGCTCACAATCTGTACGTTTTTTGACCGCCTTCAGACAGGGTGGCAGAAATGGTTCCTACAGTAAACTACTAAACCAGTGAGTGATGGTTAGCTCTCAGTATGTGTAGTGGAGTTGGAAGGGGTATTACCTTCTTACTCTTGTTCATCTTCTATTCATCTTGTCGGTCGGTAGCCGTCGGCTTGATAAGTACTTGGTTCTGTAGTATGGGCAAGGATCAAAATATACAACACATAATATATATCTACAGACAGAACAACTGAACAACACACAAAGAACTTCAGAGCACACTGCATCTGTGTAACTGTGACAGCCTGAATCCCAACTCTCTTGACTACTTATATATCTCAGCCTACCATAAACTTCTAGTAGTCACACACCCACTACCAACAAATAATGAACTAAGTATATCATACAAAGAAACTCTATACTAGCGGTGAAACCACAACCACCACCCACCATCACAATCCTAAACCACCTATACACAGCATAAAGTTAGCGAACAATATGACACAGCACGCCAATTCCCTCCCTCTCCATCCCGTGCATCTGAAACGGCAATCGTGCAGGAAATAAACGAATCTATATATGCATGCATGCATGCACGCATGCGGGATATAGGATAAATCTATGACGCAAGCTGTCGAGTATACTAGCGAGATGAGGGGAATGGAGGGGCAAGGGATATACTAGTACGTATGTGTAAAAATAGATAAACTTTTGCTTCTTGCATTTTCTATAACATAAGTAACTGCGTATGCAATTATGCGAGATTGTCACCTAACGGGGTTCTGCAGCTGTAGTAGCTGCAGATATCATCGAAGACAAAAATATAGATAAAGGTTATTTATCAGCAAGGGGTTCAGTCATTATTGCATGACATATACACACGGCCGGGAAATAGGCAAGCAGTCATGGCGTTCAGCTGTCAGCTGTGACGCGGTGACTCTAAGAAAGGTTCAATATGAGACGTTTCAAGCAAGGGATTGATGACTTCGTATCACATTATATTATCTAAACCAGAAACGAAACAGCTAGCCACCACTGGGATATCTAAGAAACTAAGCGAAACTCAAACCAGAACGCGCACAGACAATATGATAGATCCAACGCCGAAGAAATTAAACGAGGTATCAAGGTTACGCCATCAAGGACTGGAACAGCGTTGGCTTCGCTTGGGTACGGCTTCAATCACAGACTCCATCCCCGGGTTACTGTTCCAAATGCCGGTGATTTCCAATCCCGCTTCGTCGAGCAGCTCGCGCCACTGGCGTTCAGAGCGCTCCACACCCGATCCGATGCTCATCATCTGGATGTCCAACGATGATTGCAGGAGCGGGGCGTTCGTGTCCGGTAGAACAAAGTCAGAAATGATGATGCGGGAGTACTCAGGATCCATGGCAGAAATGGTGTTGACCAAAATCTTGCGGCAGATGTGGTCTGGCCAGTCATGAAAGATGGCGCGGAAGTAGTATGCTCTGGCGCCTGTGTGTATGTTAGCTTTGATATTGAAACGATTGAAGGTCCGTGAGAGATATTGCATACCCTTGATAGGTTGTGGGTCCAAAAAGCTGTACCCCATTCCTTCGATTCTTCCCCCAGGACAGCGAGACACCACCTTGGGCAGATCTTGTAGGACGAGCCGGCCAGGGACCTCGGGGTGTGCATCCTCAAACTTCACCAGATCATGGCCCTGGTTACCGCCTACATCGACGAGGAAAGCAGCCTCCTGGTGATGCACGGCATCATTCGTCAATCGCTCGACGGGATACACGTCAAACCAGCTCGGCTTGCCATGACGACGACTAGACATGTACGAGTTGAAGAGCGATTGGCGGTGCTTGTTCTGCGCAAGCCATTCAAACTGGCTTTTCCCGACTGCCCATTGCATGGGTGAACGGGCATACTCCTTTGGGGAGATGTAGCGGTGTTCCCGAAAATAGTCAGGAAGTTTAGCGAGGGTCGGAAGCGTCAAGTCGTATCTATGCCGTTAATATTGCATGCAATAGTGCAGGTAATCAATTTAGCGACTTACATGCAAGGAATGCCATCTCTTCCGATCGGCTGAGTGAGTGCAACTGTCTTGTCGGTCGCAATGTATATTTCGGATTCTGGGTTTGCGCACAAGCCCAGTGCGGTCATGACTCGCATCAGACGGACTATAGGTATGAGCAGGGACCGTGTAGATTTTGGCGATCATCTTACCAATTAATCCGCGCTCAGCACCAGTTTGTGCTGCCAGCTCTGTAGCCGACATCCCGCGCTTGCTTTGCTCCACCAACAATGGGAAGATACCCAGATCCATAACGGTGCGGAGGGCTGCATTTTGCGGTGGCTGCATGCACGTTAGGCGATAATCACCTGAGCGGAAGGGGAAGAAGCAACTTACCTGGTAGATCAAGCGCAGTACCGTCTCCGTTGGTGTCTCAACTGCAAGACGCAGCTCGTCGATCAAGCCGAGCAGCTGGAAATGCGACTGTGCAGAGCGGCATGCACCTTGGTCCTGCAATGCTGTCTGCTTGATGGTCTCCACTAGGGAGAGGACCTTGGACTGGTCGGCAGTCATCTTTTAACATAAAAAGTAGTAAATGTGAGTAAATGTGAGTAGATACAGAAGACTATGCTATAGTTGGGTGGTATGGGAATGCGTGAGATGCAAAGATGTAGCAGCGGTGAAACAACATGCAGGTTAAGGGATTATATAGCACTTTCCGCGGAACAGAAAACCAACCCAAAACTGGAAATATCCAATAATTCAAGCAGTCGATCAATCAGCAAGGATGGCAATCGCGCAATGATGCCCGTACCCGGACTCCTGGAAAAAGCAAGCCTGGCAGGCCGGTCGCATCCGCCAGGTCTCCAAGGCAAGGATAATTGCAGGACACTTCAATCTGGGACTTTGTGTCGATGCTTTTCCAATAGTTCCGGATGCAGATTGTCGGGCGAGGCCCTAGATCATCATGACACAATAGCAGTAGCAGACGCATCGCCGCATGAATCACGTCGCACGGGGCAGAGGTTGAAGGTGGTCCAGCCGTATCTTTTCCGACTATTCTCCCCAGGCTTTTACTTTTTGTGGTCCAGCTGACGAACCTCCTCCCATTACGGGACGCCCAATCTATCTGTGGCAATGGCTTTCAATAGCCTGAGGTCACTTTCGCACGGGCTTTGCTCCCCTCCTCCTGATGAAAGTTCAATGAATCCTGGCGCATATGCAGAACTTTGTCGTAATCCGGGCTGCTCCACCCATTGTTTTAGACACACTCAGTAAGAGGTTTTCCCGCTAAATAGATGCGCAGTACCGCTGGGTTGGGGCCTCCCGATTACCCTGTTCCTGGACCAGCGCCACAACGCCACTCCGAAAGTACTAAATGCTAAATGTCCGTCAGACCCCGTAAGATGGCCACCGCTCCGGCTGGCCCAAGCTCCTCCAGAGTCAGTATGTCGGTAAGTATGTATGTATGTACGTGTGTGTGCTTTATGTATGAAGCTATGGCTCCCACTAGCTGTCTGTCCGACACCGAGATCGCTAGGTAAGATCGTCTGGTCTGACCACACAGATGTGCCCAACATAGCAACAAAGAAGCGACCCCTCCTCGGGGTCTGCTACTAGAGCCAATGTTTCAATCAGGCGCTCCTACCGGATGGTGTATCGAGTATTCCGGCCACTGTTGCGATATTAAGCCATACGGATCCGTTCCAGGAACCTGGGTAGAGACCTGTATGTGGAATCCGATTGGTGTCTGGTCTAGACTGGCCGCAAAATAGACTCCAGGTCCGTGCTTATCGCCGTCAAGTGAGGCAAGCGTATCGACATCTAACTAGAAGTCTGAGTGTGGTGTGCAATACGATCGACCAAGCTATGAATTTGTCCGACACGTTTGCGATCGCAGTGTCGCAGTCTCGGGTCCAAATGATATTGTCGCTAGTCCTGGTGCTAGTACCACATAAGTATGGAGTGAGGCGACAGATTGAATGAACAACTGCAGGGCCATACCAACAGTATGGATACCGGCCGTGGTGACACCCGCGTAGATCATTGTTTACTCCCCGGTCCAGTCATTCTACCCTGTAGTGTCAAGTGTTGGTTGTTGCTTTTTTATCGATGTTACTATTATGGCCCAAGCATCGGGGAGGAACTGCGCTTCTGCCTTAGCTAGTTGAATCGGACTCTTGACCACACACACACAAAGGTGCTTATCTCTCCTGAATGTCCATTGATGAGAGCTATAGGGTGATTAGTTTGGCTAGACCGTCGATCCCTCAACAATTCCGCCTTACGTCAAACTCCCGGCTGCTATTTGGTACACGGACCAGCCAATCGTGACGAATTATCGCACTATTTCAGGAAAAAAAGGCGGGAGATTAGATAGATCATGCGCTGGTGACCCAATATTGGTCATTTCTTTTCCAGCTCCCCGGCTTAGGGTGGCGGATCGGATAGCCGGCATTGTCGATAGGGGTGCTTGTGTAAGATTCGGTGAGCGGCTAAAAGCAGGTGAAAGCAGGTGAAAGCAGTCGATAGGCCAACCACAATGGATACTGACAGCATTGACGCCTTCAGTCTGCACCTCATGGCAACTAAATCCCAAACCTGCAATGTTACCGGCGGATCAACCTCCCGGCCCAGGTCGCTCCACTACGGACGGAAGTTATGGGTACATACCTTTATCCTAGCGCCGGGGCCCATTCGGGTATTACTATGTGCCAGGTGAGTTTTCAACAGCGGCAATATCTAGAGGGCGCTTCCCGGCAAGTCACGGAGGACTTTTGCCTCCGTCAGACAGGTCACATCGTAAGAAGTACTGCTTGGTTTGACCCACTCGAGTTCAGCTCGTGGCGTTCCGATCGGATGGGAATTTGGACCTATTGATAGAGCAGAATCGATCAATGATCGGGCTACCGTGTTGGAGAATCTTCTAGCTCCAGTGGCAATCATTGTATGTGAAACCGACTCCAGATCCAGAAACAATATCGAAGTCATAATCATATAGAGCGTAATATTAGGAGAAAAGAAATTTGAGCAGGAGTGAGGCGGAGAATTTGTCAATCGAGCACCTCGCTCCGGTATTGCGGATATTCGCACGGTCCACACTGGCCAAGTACCGGGCTTTGATGGACGCAAAAGGAGAAAAGTACCAGCTGCAGAAGTCCGGTGCACGGGCCAGTTCGTCGACTTGAAGGGCGGCCATTACGGCTAGTATGACAATAAATGACTCGACCTAAACTAACGAATTCAATTCCAAGCCATCTCGGGTGGCGGTGCAGGCGTGAGACAAGTTCACTGTCCGCCGTATTCCGTACTTCCTGACAGTGCAAGGGGTCGGTTGTTTTCACTATAGACCGGAGATGCCCCGTCGAGACCGGGGCTGAAGTGTGCGACAGCCATATTCTTAAGGCCCCACTCCAGTAGACAGGTCAGAAACAGGCCATCGAGGAAGGTTGAACACGAGTACTCGGACATGGCTTTCTGCACGGGTACATCGTCTTTTTGTCGGTGGAGCCAGCATCCCCAGCCAATTTTGCTGTGACACTCTATTTTAGGGAGGGTGGGCATTTGTCAGCCTGAGAGGACGTCGGGCCTCGCATTCCTTCCCCAAAAGTCCCAACCCCAAGGCTAGGGAGCGAACAAAGCCGAGGAGGAAAAAACAAATATAGAGGAAAAACAAAACAAAGAGGGGTTGTCCACTGCTTAGCTGTCTCTGTAAGAAAAGCTGATCAGCGATCGATCATCCACTCCCGAGGGCGCGATCCAGGTTCCTGGGCCGGGAACCCGGTTACTGGGGCGGGAGTTCATCCTAGCCTGCCCTAGTCCCTCGGCTGGATGGACGCTGATTGTTGACAATCCCTGCACTATTGGGGTCGTCCTTATGTCGCGGGATGCAACATTATGCAACCAGCCCATCATGCTGCGAACTGTGCTTCCGCTCGTGCATCATCTGCTGCAGTGTGACTGACAAATTTCACCGCACCCGCGCGCTGTCATCCAGTCAGCTTGAACCATCGCACGGACGGGCAGGAGCTCTGGTGTCATCCCAGACCAAATCAAGCCAGCTCTGTTCCTTGATTTGACAGCACCTGATCGCGATCGTGCATCCATAGTCCGGCCAGATTTGGGCCCGTGCTGGCTTTAGGGTTCTGATTAGCTTTAGGACTTGCCACAGTTCGCATACGTAGTGGCCCCTGTAATTAACTCTCCTGATAGTCCTAGTGTCTGAGGGGACGTCATTCACAGTGGAGATCATCAGCCTAACAGTTTGCGTTTCCTAGTCATACACCGCTTCGTTTTGTGCAGGGATCGGAAACCCAAACTGTGGGAACCAACAAGCCGCGACTGTTCCTAGGTCCGGGCTCTGTTCAACTCCACCGACCTCCAGGCGAAATTGCAAAAATGGTCGATGTATCTATCCACCTCAGCCTAGTTCTTGGACTTAAATAGACCCTTGTCCCCCCCCCCCCCCCCACATAAGCACCTCAGGTTTATCTGATGTACAGCTTCGTCAACTTTCATCATGGGAATTCCTCAGTATGAAGGGGTCACAGACCAGGCCCCTAAGCCGACAACAAACACCACAGAACAGGTTGTTGCACGCTTCGGCCGTCTTCATCTCTTAGATGACTTGATTCGCCTGCGAGCAGCTGATTATATTCAACATCCCATCTTGGCTTATCCCAAGCCCTCTGAAAACGGATCCGTGTCCTATGAGTACTTCAATGGTCAGGATCTTGACTGCATGATCGACTATGCAGTCTGCACATTAATGGACTACGGTTTCAAGCCGGTATGTGATGAAACGCTGCATACCAAAGCTGAAGCTGACTTTCTCTTAGGCCCGAAAAGAAGGGGCAACAGTTGCTCTCTTCACCCTATCAGATCTCAACATGGTGATCACTTTCTTCGCTCTTAGCAGACTCGGATATACGGTCATGATGTTGTCACCACGCCTATCGGCCACAGCATGTGTCGCCTTATTAGACACAGTCGGTTGTAGCACAATACTCTATGGCCAATCGCCGAATATTCGCGCCACAATGGGTGAAGTCCTTCGTCTAAAATTAATTGCGTGTCGCCCAATCATCGAAAGACCTTCTCCAGAGGATCTATCAGAAGACTCTGATGCTGTTGTGATATGTCGGAGTCGTCGTCCGGAACTCCAAGTCGAAAAGATTGCTCTGATCCTGCACTCTTCAGGGTCAACAGGTACCCCCAAGCCTCTCTATCTAAGTCACAAAGCCTTGATGACGCATCCGATGCGGGGTCCTGGGTTCACTTCTTTCAATTCATTGCCATGGTATCATCTTCATGGGCTATCCACGGCCCTACAAGCCATGTATATGCGACGAACAGCATACATGTGGGATGCCTCCCTGCCATTGACCGCAAGCACGGCTGTCGCTGCTCTGGAAGCAGCACAACCCGAATCGGTTCAAGGTGTACCATACTTACTCCAACTCCTTGTCGACAGCCCACGCGGGTTGAAAGCGTTGAGAGCTTGCAAGTCCGTCACATATGGCGGTGCACCATGCCCCGACGAGTTAGGTGACAGACTTGTGGATGAGGGTGTCAGATTCGGTGGTTCATTCGGGCTGTATGTATCCATCAGCATTCTCAGCTAGCTGTGTTGCTAACTCGCTCTTAGAACGGAAGCCGGACTGGTCGCAGAGTCGATTTCCCGCCCAGCAGGAGACCCCTTCTGGAACTACATGCGCTTCTTCGACAACATCAAGCCGTTTATTTGGATGAAACCCATCAGTGACGCACTCTATGAAGTCGTCTACCTCAAAGGCCACCCTGCATTGACGGCCTCGAATTCCAATGAGCCCCCTGGCTCATACCACTCTCGCGACGTCTTCACTCCCCATCCAACACTTGCCGACCGATGGAAGTATGTATCGCGTCTGGATGACCGAATCACGCTTGTCAATGGTGAGAAGGTCCTTCCTCTCCCAATCGAGGGCTGCATCAAGCAGAGCCCTCTTGTTCAGGAAGCAGTTGTTGTCGGTGTCAACAAAGCCGTTCCTGGCTTGCTGGTTTTCCGTACAGAAACCTCCCAGATGTTCTCGGATGAAGAGTATTTGGATCTTCTTTGGCCAACGGTGGAAGAAGCCAATTCCCGGGCAGAGCAATTCTCTCAAATATCCCGCGATATGATCCTTGTCTTGCCTATCGACTGCGCCTGTCCTCGTACAGACAAGGGATCAATGATCAGAGCCCAGGTCTATGCGAAGTATGAGGAAACCATCGAAAATATGTATACGAGACTTGAACAAACAGCCGACGGGACTCTCAAGCTGGACTTAACCGCAACGGAGAACCATCTGATGAAGCTCTGTCACGAAGAGCTTGGATTCCCCATCTCTACTCCCAACGCCGACTTCTTCGCCGAAGGCTTAGACAGCCTGAAGGCAATCCATCTCCGTCGTTTGATATTGAGGGACTTTAAAGTAGAGGACCCCAAGGACATCGGCCACAATGTCGCTTTCGAAACTGGAAACATTGTTCGCTTAGCAGAGCACATCCACCTGGTTCAATCTGGCCAGCGTGATGTGGCTGAGGATGAGGTCGCCATGATGCCAGGTCTTATTGAAAAATACTCCGTCTTCCAGAGGCATACACCAAGCCCCAGCTCCGCAGCAACGCAAAAGAGTGTTGTAAGTTTTTCTCCTAGCCAACTCCATCGAGTCATCAACTAACAAGTCTAGCTCCTCACTGGAGCAACTGGTTCTATTGGCGCTCACACCCTCTACAAGCTTTTGAACGACGACAGTGTATCTGCCGTGTACTGCCTGACACGGAGATCTCAGCCCAAAAAGGCTGTCATTGACACCCTCGCACAGAAAGGCCTCTCGGTCCTTCCTTACCGACTGCAGAAGATTGTCGCTCTCAACAGCTCTCTCGAAGAGCCTGACCTGGGAGTCGGTGAGAGAATGATGGCGGAGATGCGACGATCCGTGTCTCTCATCATCCACACCGCATGGCCCGTCAACTTCAATCTTCCCCTCATGAGCTTTGAGCCTCACATCAAAGGACTCCAAAACCTCATCAACCTCTCTCTATCCGTGGACCTCCCTGAGCCAGCAGTTCTCCTCTTCTGCTCCTCCATCTCAACAGCTCTCGGTGCATCGTCCGACGTAGACGAGACTCCCATCGAAGATCTAGCTAGCGCTCTTGAGATGGGATATGGACGCTCAAAACTGATTGGAGAGAAGATCGTCAGCAATGCTCGCAGAGCTGGTGCACGTACATACTCCCTTCGGATCGGGCAAGTGTCCGGTCACTCGAAGAAGGGATTGTGGAACGACTCGGAGGCCATCCCTCTGATGATACGTTCAGCTCTGACCCTGAAAGCTTTGCCTGACCTCGACATCACATGTTCCTGGCTACCCGTGGACAAGCTTGCCTGCTCCATGCTTGAACTGGCCCGTGCATGTTCCTTCAACTCCCTCGAGGAGCGCTGGGACAGCACAGCATCCGGCGAGTGGGTCGACGACACCATCTACAACCTTTGCAACTCGCGTGCCTTCACATGGTCATCTTTGCTCGATACACTCAGACGCAGCGGATTCTCATTTGAGACCGTCCCGTTTGAGAACTGGCTGCAGATGCTTCGCGAAAGTGAAGCTCGAGGAGAGGAGATGGTCAACCCTGCTGTGAAGTTGACGGCTCATTATGAGTCAATGTACAGCGAGAATTCCCCGAAGCCGGTCAGGTTTCTCACCGAAAAGGCAGAGAGAGATAGTATGACGCTGAGAAATGGCCGGTTGAGGATTGTACAGGATGGTATCCTCACTCGGTATGCGCAGGACTGGTTGAAGCGATGGAAGTCAGCTTAGAGGGCCCATGAGACTACGATGATCTCTTCATGTCGATATTTGTCTGTAAATAGTTCACGATCTTCTAGATACCACATTTGGCTTTGGAGTTAGCAGTTTAATTGATGATTCTTACAATGAAGAACTTCAAGATAGTAAAATGTAATACCTTGTGATTATTCGGGTCGGGGAGGACTAAAGACGAGCTGGTATCAGCGACGGAGAGACGAAGAGTGATGATTGCAAGAAGTGGTGCAGTGGTTGACCATTGGTAAAGTGACGATTGAGACACCGTTGCTCATTTCGTCACTGCCGTCACATGACGAGACGGCATAGCGCAAGTGTATACTCCGAATTCTACGGTCTTTTGAGTGCTTGTATATTGTTACAGCAACATAATTGTGGATAGTGTATCTTATTCTATTTGATTAACTATCTAAGCTCTGAATTTCAAAGTATAGCCGAAAGAAGGCGGATATCGAACGCGATTGAAGGATGTGGACCGGAATTGCACGTGGAATGCTTCAAGCAAGGCAACCAGCCTATAGTACATACAAAAACAGTAGGTTGCAAACAAGGCCTCTCCCTACGAGATGTGAATGAAGCAGAGTGAATACGGGTAATTCACAAAGTACCAAAATCACCCCCTTAAGCCAACAGAGCAAAAGCAAGGATACCGACGACGCTGGAGGCACCAAGACTCAACTTGCTTGCTCCACCAGTGAAGACAGGTGTTGAGGGGGTAGTAGCGGACGAGGAACCGGAGCCAGAGTGGCCGGACTTAGATCCAGAAGCAGAGCTGCCCTGGGTGGCAGCGGCAGCATTGTTGGCAGCAGCAGCAGAGGTTGGCTTACGGATTGATCCGCTAGAGGAGGGTGCAGTGGCAAATGCATGGCTGGACGAGCTGGGGGCAGGTCTGCCATATGCAGCAGCACTTGAGGGGACAGAGCCATAGGAGTCAGATCCGGCCTGGGACCCCGACGACTGGCTGGAGCTTCCCTCGCTACCATTGGCCACAGCGCTTGCACCGCTAACACTCGATGCAGCCGGGGCAGCGCTTTGTTCACTGCCGATAGCTTCCGCACTTGCGCCACTAACGGAGGCAGGCGTAGCAGAAGAACCGGCATTGGCGACAGCAGATGCAGGGGTGCTCTCATCATCACCGGCTTGTGTGCTTGCGCCGCTCGCGTTGGACGCAGTTGCAGCATTCGAAGAGGCGCTGTCATTACCGTTGGCCTCGGCGCTCGCACCAGTGACGCTGGATGGGGTGGCAGAAGCGACAGCTTTAGCCTCGGAAGAAGCAGAGGAGTCCTCGCTACCATTAGCTTCGGCACTCGCACCGGTGGTGCTGACATTAGAAGGTGTGGCAGAAGCAGAGGCACCCTCACTGGCGTCGCCGCTTGCACCGGTGGTGCTGATATCAGATGGTGTTCCAGAAGCAACACTGCCAGCGTCAGAAGCAGATGAGCTCTCGCTACCATTTGCTTCCGCGCTTGCACCAGTAGCAGTTGAGGGGGTAGTTGCAGCGGCAGAAGAGCCCTCACTACCATTAGCCTCAGCGCTAGCGCCAGTAGCGCTAGCTGGCGTTGCAGTCGCAGAACTGCCCTCGCTGTTGCTACCCTCGGTAGCCTCGGAGCTTCCGCCAGCCAGAGCGGCCGCAGCAGAGGAGCTCTCAGCAATCGGGCAGATAGTGGTGGTCATAGTAACATAGTGAGTCGACGTCGATGCAGAAGAGCCGTTCTCATCCGCGACAGAGCTCTCGGTTGCTGCGGCGGCAGTGGTGGTTTCAGCCAATGTCATCGTAGCGGTTTCGGCATCAGCGGTGGTGGCAACAGTAGTAGCAGCGGCAGTGGTCGCAACAATGGAGTTGGTGACTTCCTTAACAGACGAGACGGTCTCAACGACAGTAGCTGCAGATTCGACGCGGGAAGCAGAAGCAGAAGCGGAGGCTGCGGCGCCAGTTTGGTAAATCTTGATGTAGTTAATCTCCCAGTAGGACTCGGCGAAAGCCGCTGGGTTCTCGGCGACATAAGCAACGCAGCTCTTGAAGGAACTGCTGCTATCGCTCACAGGACAGCCAGAGGTGCTGTAAACGCCGCCAGCCCAGTCACCACAAAAAGTAGTGTCGAAGATGAACTGCTGGGCTTTGAAGTGTTCGGCGATGCTGCACGAGCCCTGCATGTGAGCCATCGGAGTGCCGAAAGCAGTGACATCGGGGTCGCCTTTGGTGATAGAGGTGGGGATCGAACCACGGGGGAAAAACCAGAACTTGAGGAATTCCTCTGTCCACTGCATAGCGTAGACACCGCCACCGTTCTCGTTGAACGGGGTTCCAGAAGAGCCTTGGGTGCCCTCAACAACACATCCAGTGGTACCAGAGTCTTCACCACACTCCGTGGAGGAAAGTGTGCCGGTCATCTTCTGGCTGGAAATTTGGCAAGTACCGCTCGTATGCAGGACGATCTCGTTGGCTTCGTTCTTATTGACACCTTCAATGATATCGATCTCACCATCCGTAGGCCAGTCTTTGCCTGTGGACCAAAAGGCGGGCCAGGTACCGCAGACACTTCCGGGCATGTGCTCGAGGTCGATGATGAACAGACCTTCGTCATAATATTTGTTGCTCCCAATGCGGACCGACTCCCGGCCAGGACCGTTGGTGCTCAGCTTCGTGGTATGGTCGACACCCATGTAGAAGGTACCGTTCGAGTTGACCTTGACCAGCCCCTTGCTCTCGGCATAGCTTTGATTCGCATACGTGACGAATCCATTCGTGGGGTCAGCACCTGTGTAGAAATCGAAAGCCGTCAGGAAATCCTCGCCCTTCCAGGTTTCCACAAGTTGATAACCGCTGGCCGCGGCGGGCAAGATCATCGATGATAGAGCGAGCGACCCTACGCTCCATACTAGGGATGAGGTAGGCATTGTCACTATGTTCGGTCAAGCAATTGCGTGGTTAGAGAGGGTAAGTCCCGAGGACTTTCAAGATTAGAGAAACCAGAGGTTTTAGCAACGAAGATTTATTCGAAAACGATCGACGTTTAGGACGAAAAAGAATGGAAAGTAGCCCTCTAGGCGTACAGAGTGCGAAAAGGAAGGTAGCACAGGAAGTGCAGAAATCAACTGCTAGTCAAGAAATAAGAAAATAGAGAACGTATGTAGGGAAAGGATGGGCGAAAGGAGAAATATGTAGAGAATGTACACAACAATGTGGGAGCATGACGCAGACCGGGGGTAGGCCGGGCGATATACGAATAATAACAGCAACACCCCGACATGTAAATTAGCGTGGCGTCTGCGCAAGTGGCTGCAGGCCGCTAGCATTATTCTCAAGATCCATAGCAAATCAGCTTGAGTGTTCTTGTCGCCTGGGCCATTCACTGGGCGGCTCGTTGCCGCCCATTGGGAGGACGACGGTTCGTGCCTGGGAGGGGTCGGCAGGTACACGACGAATCAGAGCAAAAAGAAGGTTACAGACAGAATGCGTCTTGATGAGTCCACAGCCTTCATTCTTTGGCCAGGCATGTCGGGTGGATCAGCGACAAAGAGCAAGACCATGATGGTGGAGCCTGAAACACGACCAGAGAGCTCGGCGGGATGACATGAAACAGGAGAAGCCCAAAGATTCGACTAGCACAAGGGTAGTATTTTTTTCTTCACGTTGGACAAGCCAGGTCCTAATTTAAACGAGAACTTTGCTCCATGTCAGTTTTAAACTCCCTTTGTGAACCATCAGACCCAGCGACCGAGTAAAAGAGAATTGGCGATGTCCCTGCCACTATCCCGGCAACCGTCACATTCCCAAGCCATCAAGCCAACAGCTGACAGGTCGCGATCGCTGAGCAACCGGACGAGATTGCCGATCCGGGGCACCACTCCGTGGCCTGGGCTGTGATCGGGATGGAAGCACTCCGTTGTGAAAGGCGAATTATTTTAGGAACATGCCTTCTATTCCAGTAGACTAGAGGATGAGCCGACGTTGTAGGCTAATTGAGTCTAGACACCGGGTGGGGATGGGCAGACCACGCCGTTGTTTCTTGGTGCCGACATGGCGGAAGTTGGAGGATCACCTAAAGAAGAGACGAGAATAATTGGGGGTGGATTAGCCACATCACGGCGTGCGTAAAGCGATCGCGTTTCCAGGCCAGATAAAAGCAAGCAAGGCGCTGGAGCCCGATAATTTGATCTAGAGAGAGATTGGAGATGGAGGCGCATGAAGAATGAAAGATGGAATCCTGGAAGAATGCAGGCGGAGTCTAAAGCGGACTAGCGCGGTGAGCCACGGGACCGGGCGCCTCTCTCCTGTGGCTGGAATGGGAAAGCCCATCGGCATGGGCTGAGCCACCTCCCCCTGGCGACGACCATCCTTCTCAAGCCGCTATTCCCTAGCTGGCTTGGCTACTATTAAGTTTTTTAGTGTATACCGATCCTGCCATTCTATGCGATACAGATTCCAGTCGCATAGTTGAGCTCTGGCTTTCCCCCATAACCCTCGATACTACTTATTCCATGGGTCGCTAGTAAACATTGATCTCTGTCCAATCCAAACCCTTGGGGCAATGTCCGCGCGGTCTCTTGTCCACCGCTTAAGCATCCATCAGGAACTGTGTGACCGAATATAAGCTTACGTATATCTCAAGTTGAGGTTGGTTCTTAGAGACCAGGTCAGACTCACAACCCCTTACGTGCATGGTCATTTCGACCGATGCCCGTCGCACAAACTGGACCATCACAGCCACATCTTCGGTTCGTTGTCCAAAGAAACTGCTAGAAGGAAATACCAAGTAGCCACCCAGGAGACATACAATTGTTTCTCTCTTTTCTGCAACATTGCTTACATCACGTCAAGCCGTCGGTCCTTGCATCTAAAGCACAACCTGAGCAGTTGGACCTCCAATCCTGCTAGGATTTTCTTCGCTAGACGGCAAGTGACAGACAGGCCTGTGGGGACCAGTTGCCATAGGCTCAAGGGACTCTTCCACGCAATTAGCCGCACGTGCATACCCTCGATGAAAATTTTCCATGTGCCTTTGGATCTGCATGGTCGTGTCAGTTGCCCCGTCGCCTAGCCCCATCTGTTCTAGGCTGGTCTCCACAACAGTGCGTCCCTCTATGAAGGACTTGTACATGGACAGAGGAACCTGGTCTCGGAATTTCGTCCTCCGTGTGAAATTTATGAATATGGCTGCCTGGTTCGAGATAGGTCTCGCAAACTCATCGCAATACAAGCGCTTGAGACTCTGCTCATAGCGCCTAAGGTCGGCGGGAAAGTAAAAATGATCCAGAGCTAAAACCCTCGATACAAACTTTTGAATACTAGTAACACGTAGTGCACCATGCTAACTGGTCCCGGTCGGAGAAGGTCACTTGCGAATTCATCTTTCGATGATTCTGCAAGCAAACACACAGACTCATTGTTGTGAACTCATCGTCGGTTCGGCTGAAGGAATACGGTGTCCTCAAGATTGACATTCCGTCAAGTGTAATTCGCGGAGTGGTAGCTCAGGTAAAGTCGTTCTCATGAAGACATGATCACTGGATTTTGAATGGGTTGACCCTAGCAGCGATGGATGACAGGTGGATTGTCGATTCTGGATCACTTCCTGATCATGCACGGGGATCTAGGCAAGTAATAACTGAATTACCCATCCTCATCACTGGGGTAATAAAAAGCGGAGTGGCCATAAAAGCCATCATGAAATTCCCAAGAGCATGACAGTAAGCTATAGCGGCTAAACAACCATCCTTATGGGCAAGGGTCAGCAGCATGCTCGCTGATCTGTGATACAGAGACGAATATTTCTCTCCGCCGTTCTTCCTTATGCTCCAATGGTCTGTCTTGCGAGGCGATTACTCAATCCCGCGAGAGAGATGTCCGCTGACCCAGAAACATGCTCCGTGATGTATCGATCAGGCTAGCTATGTTCTTTAAAATCATGGCAGTAATGTAAGCCACATTCTCATAAAGCAGCCATTACCTCATCTCCATACACAAGACTGGAGAGCGCTCTCCACATCACGGCGGCTGAACCCCGGCGTCCACCCAAGACATATTGCATTTGCGGATAGTGCTGCCAATGAGTGAGTATTAAGAATCGAGAAGCAAGGAGCGAAATGGAACCATACCCTGTATGAAACGTGCTGCATTTATCGCTGTTCCCTTGAGACGATGGCGCGCGGGATCCATGGGAGGATATGTGAGAAGATGTACATCATGCTCCCTCAGGTATCCTTCCAGGTCACCCATATCAAACCAGTCCCCTTCAAGCTTGGTCTGTATATGTTGCGGGAAGTGTGATACCGATCGCACGGAAACCCACCGCACCCCAGGCCGGAATGGACGATCCGCTGCTTTGCTCTTCAGGGAAGACCGAGAGTAATGGGTTCCTGCGCCCCCCAGACTGAAGAAGGGTACCTCTTCCCACTCCGCAAAATACTTTCGACTCTCTTTCTCATTCAACGCGGCTTGGAAGTATGATGCGATACGTTTTCTGTCCATAACCTGAAGTAGCAGGCAAAAATGCTTCTGTATACTGTCTATACCGATGGATTCGTCACAAAGGGCAAAACACCCTTGATAGACGCATGACATGTGGAGTCTGTCAGTGAATACAGTCAAATCCATTTCAGCGGTTTCCGATGACTCGAAGAAGCGAGGGATTTGCTTGCTCCACGTTATCGGTGATTCTCTAAGCTCCAGATGTAGATTAGGCTCCAAGATGGAGGAAACGCTCTCGTCCAGTTCCACAATCTGTGCCGATTGGCTATACTGTTCATGCGGCAGGAAATCTGGCAGGCCGTCATCGGTTTGAGGCGGCGAAATAGTCGTAACCTCCTGAGGGCTATCATTGCTAGCCTCTCTGGCTAGGGTGAGACATGTCTGTACGGTATCGCGCAGATGTTCCGTCAGACCAGCATGGGATGCCAATACTCCCGACCGAACCAGCTCGTCACTGAGCGATAAAACAGATGTACTCATCTTTTCCACAATTCCTTCGAGTTCGGAGATGCGACCTTTCAAAGACGAGAGGTTGGCTTCTTTTCGTGAGCGATATGCGCGTTGCGCAAGCCGGATCTGTCTCCGACGTCTCTGCTCGAGTTGATCAATCTCTTGATAGTAGTGCACAAATAAGCTGGGTCTCGCGTACCTCTTCTGGATCTTCATCTGCGGCGTCCTGGGCTACTTTTCGCGGTCGACCTCGTTTAGTGAGTGCCGATGAGCCAGACTTCTCTACCTCAGTGCGAGTGCGTTTCAGAGACTTTACTGCCGGCTGAGTCGGCTGAGTGTCGTTATTATAGAGAAGCAATTGATTCTCCGGTATGATTCCACCAAGAAGGGGGAGTTGGACATCTTGTTGTCTTCTTTGCTGTTGCCTGATCTGTTGGGGCACGGGATACGAGCAGGCCGAGAGCAGCGATGTTATCTGCGGGGCTGTCGAGTCACAATGAGATCCAAAGAACGCATCGTTGACGCTCTCCCAGGGGAGTAAAGCTGTGTCTGAGTCGCTCATATTTGCTTTTGACTATAGACAGAATATAACATTATTTACCGTGATGGTTTGTTTGTACGGAAGGCTGATGGAGGTGGTGGAGAGAAAAGCCAAAGAAAGAAGTGCTGCTGACATATCCTGCCCTGCCGTCCAGTCGCCACACGTCACTGCATCCAACCCGTCCAGACCGGGTCGATCTATTCTTTGTTGGGGCGGATAGCATAAAAGTAAAGTTAGACAGCTTAGAAACTTTACCTTTATGCAAGTATATTTCTGACAACTTAGTGGATGGTGTGCTTATGTGTGTGCTGGTTGAGCAAAAGGGGAGGCGAGAGAGATACCTCGGCTCGGGATGTTCACTAATCAAAAAATTCGATCGTCCTCATCCGCCCTAAATCACCAGTAACAGTGGGAACCAAGATTACTTTTAAACCTTAATGTGAGTCAAATAAGTATTTAGGTGGTTGTCTAAATCGTACTTTTATCTATGACGAATCCCGATGCAGGAGAAAGAGCTGCCTAGATACAGCTCCCTAGATACATTGAGGTGATCTCTCTAGAATAGGAAATTGTTGTAATAGGTCGATCTCCACTTAGAGCGGTCCTACCTATATCTGAGTTGGTTCTTCTGTTATACCTACTAACATCTAATTACAACAAGCAACAAATTTCAGCCTGAACAGTACATTCAAAATAATTTTGATGATCTTTTCTGGCCCCACCGCCAAGTCTTCAAGTAGACGTTTATTGATCCACAAGCTATCTCTCTAGTCTTGAGTTGACAGCATACTGAAAAAGTCACTATCGTTGGTATTATAGAGTAACATGTAGGGGGCTGGTGATCATCTACGTGGTCCAATATCGCCAACATTCACATCCCAGACATGCTCTCCACAAGTTTCATGTTTATCATAGTTGTCTGGGTCTTCACCGTCAGTCCTAAGCATTTCGATCTCTCCAGTAATGTTTGCCCGGTCGCCTCATCAACCTCATCAGGATAAACCATCATAGTCATAGTTTTCTCTCTTTGCGTCTGCCACTTCTTTGCTTCTCCGTAAGTTGACTGCGGGACAAGACATACATTCTCAAATACCATCCCCGCGTATTCACATCCCTGCAGTGGATATGGATTCGACGCCAGCTCGGCCGAAATGGGAAGCCCTCCTAATTCCGACTCAAGAAATGGCGCCAATTGACCCTGGATACAGGCCTCATGAAGGGCCATTTCATTCCCACCCTGAGCGAAGAAGCCCGTATATGCTTGTCGGAGGTCACTTAGCTCCAGTGGTGTTCGACAGTTGTAGAATCCATAATCCACGGTAACACTACGATGAGGTTGTGAATACGACAAGCGAGTGAACCGTTTCAATTCCCATACACTCTGGTGCCTCGTTCCGACGGCGCTCAAAAGGGTCTCGAAATTCCGCAATTCTGCGATGGCATCACCAAGGCGGTACTTTCTGAACAGGTCGACCATCTTCGACTCTACTATGGCCTTCCAGAACTCTTCGAATACACATGTGTCAAGGAGCTCTCTGTTTAGCTTCGCCACTTGTTGGGTTTCACCGTCATCCCGAGGTGTGCAGAATCCAAGGGAAATCCAGTTGTCTTAGTCGGCGTCGGGGATGTATCCATGTCTAATCTAGCAAAGGAACACATAGGCCTCGAGCTTTTCCCGTGGCTTCCACAGCTGATATAGAACTCGCTGATCTTCGGGTTTGAGTACATGTTTTTGAGATTCAAACACGACCATGAAATCAGTCACTTTGTTGGCAGCAAATCCATCCTGCTGACTTATCCAATGGCTCTCAGTGTGAATCAAAGTAGATGGCATCTGGGAGCTTCGGAACAGAATGAATTCCTTCAATTATATGCTGCCATGCCTCTCGAAGCTCCTCTTCTCCCACACCCCAGTCATTAACGAGTTGGCAGTATAACTTGAAGAGTCTCTGTTAGTCAGCCGCAGATGTAAAGAAAAGGATCCCGAAGGCCAAGTTTCTTCTTCGTTCTCTTCCTCTTCTCTTGCAAGGGGAGTACGCTGTTGCTGCTGGATCTGTATGACGGTCGCTAGCGTTGCTATCTGTATTCTATCTCGCTTGGGATACTCTAAATGGTAGTCTTGATGCCAGCTGGCGGACGAGGCAGGTGGAGCTTTTTAACGTGCGACGTTTTTTTGTGAATGGCAAGGGCTGCGTTGAATAGGATCTATGTTTCGGTCCCTTCTTAGAAACTTGAATCAGGGGATTAATTAAAGCATGGTCAAAATCATGGGTAAGTGTAGGCGGGGTCGTCGGGCGGGTGAATGCTACAGCTGGCAGATCTACTGCATGGAACGCCACAGAAGCATGAACTCCTAGCTGAGTAGTCAGCCTCGACATGTTATTATGTGGTAGCTGGTACCATGCATCCTAGAACACATAATCCATAGCTTTACATTGATACGCTTTTTGTGCTACTTCACTCCTCCTCACACTGTGTCCATGGTTGCGTATTCCTATGCAGAACATTCTCTATTGAACTGACTACATCAATGAAGTGGGTTGTTGGGCCAGCCATCCTGAATGGGTTGAACCTATCGCTGGTAAATGTTATGTCCAAGCTATATGCGTTACCCCTGTCTATAATCTGCACCACATGAAGGGTTGAATGATAACAGTGCTTTTCTTCCAAAAACAAACTCTACTTTTGAATGATTGTCTTACGTTTATGCCGTAGCATACTCTTTCAAGTATGCGGCAAGCTTCTCAATGCCCGACTCGGGAATGGCGTTGTAGTTCGACGCACGGATACCTTTACATTGAATCAGTCACGGTTGCAAACCACAGCTTTTTCATCTCACTTACCTCCGACGCTTCTGTGGCCCTTCAGGCCAGTGATGCCACGCTCGACAGCACCCTTCAGGAAGGCCTTTTCGGCGTCGTCGACGTTGCCGCCCTAACTAGGTTAGCCCTCGCGTCGAAACATTGCAAGGTGGGTTGAGGGACATACCTTGATCACACGGAAGCAGGCGTTCATTCTTGAACGCACCTCCTTAGCGGGGACGACCTTGTATACCTCGGGGTAGGCGTCAAGCGTCTCATAGATGAGCTTAGCCTTTCTGTCGGCCACAGCCTGTTGTCCATCCACCTTGTCGGGGAATTCGGCAAGCAGCTTCTTCAGAACCTGGCCTGCAATGTAGACACTAAATGCTGTCAGCGGAACCGACCTTGTAAGCTTGGTGGATCACTCACTCGAAGATGGGGAGAGTGTTGTACAAGCTGTTGTTCTTAGCGGCAACAGAGTAGTCGAGGATGGTGGGCGCAATCGGCAAGCCGAGCTTGCGCAGGATGGCAGGAGAGCAAGGGGAAGAAACAGGGGGCAAGAGGTCCTTCTTGATGATCACGCCCGTGATTCCAGCAACACCCAAGTTCTTCTGACTTTAAGGGGTCAGTGAGAATTCTATCACGGGAATAACAAGCCTTACGCTCCAAAGAAGATGATCGAGTAGTTCTGGTGTAAGGTTAGCATCGAATCAGTTGGTGTAGCAGGGTTCTGGTACATACCTGGACGGGAATACGTCTAGACAGGATAGTTGAAGAGAAGTCTCCAACGACAATAGGGTCCTCGTCAGTACCCTTGGGCTCCAGAACCTTGGGGAAGCTGGGGAATTCAACGCCATCAACAGTCTACATAAGACGCGTTAGCAAGAACCTCATGACTGAGAACCTATACGCACCTCGTTCTCGCACTTGTAGACCAAGGCAGCCTTGCGGCTCAGCTTCCAGGTCGACTCGTCTGCGATCTTTCCAAACTTGCCGTCGTTGACGGTCCTGGAGTCGCTGACGATGTTGACATACTCAGAGCCAAGAAGGCGAACAGCTTCCTGGCTGGCCTTCAGCGACCATCTGTGGGGCCATTTAGTATATGTTGATCGATCGCTATGGGCTTGGGTGACCATACGATCCAGTGACCAGGTAATCCAGCTTCAGTTCCGACTCGACCTTCTTGCGCAGCTCGCTAATGACATCCTCCTCGCTAATACCGGCCTTCTCCTTGATGATCTGCTGTCTCTGCTTCTCAGCCCAGATCGAGACGAGGTTGTAAACGGTCGCATCGAATTGGCCGGATCCACCACCTTCAATCCATTAGCGACTTGCGATTGCGAAGAGAAATGGAGACAGCGATGTACCTTGCAGGAAGAGGATCTCGTAGGTGTCAGGGATATCCAGGAAGTTGGCAAGATCAGCCTTGGCGCCGTTCAGAATATTCGTCGCAATTTCGCTGCGATGGCTGTGTTCTGCGACACCACTAGAAGAGCAGGTCAGATACGGTCGCAGATAAGATCGCACAGATCAGTGCCCCTCACAGTCCAGTGTCTTGGTAGTTCTGCAGCGCCTGAGCAGCTGTGGCAAGAACATCAGTGGGGAGACTGGCAGGACCAGCACCCAGGTAGGTAATGTCTTCTCTCTTCATGATGATTGATTGCAATTGCTGTTGTACTGTCCTGCTCCTGCTACAAGCGATAAGAACTGCAGAAGAATTTAAATGACGCGATCGGTGCTTGACTCATTAAGTCCGGGGCTAAGCAAAGCGGCTTCCCCGGGCATGTCTGGCCCCGGGCCTTTGTTTCCCCGGTGTGTCACAGAATTGCCCCTCGCCGGCTAAAGAATGCTGTGCCATCTCAAGCCATCCTCGTGAGGCTTGCCGATGAACGCATGATAGTGCACATAGTAAGGGGTGTATGACAGGGTTGGATATACGCAGGTGTGACTCACTCGTAACCCAAAAAAAAAATGCTGGCGTATGAGCGGAGAACAAAAAAGAAGTTCTCCCCGACTGGGAGTCGAACCCAGGTCTCCCGCGCTTGTTCCCGACTGGGATTGACAAGCGGAAATCATGACCGTTAGACCATCGAGGATTGTTGAAGAGATTCTGCATATTTTGGCTATATAATCCTGCGTGTTCCTTCAAATCCGCTTACGGAGTGCCTAAATTCATCACATCTCTCTGCTGCTTTGTCCCTCTTTGGCAGTTACCACTATTGGGCTACGCGTGTTCTTGGATGTATTTGTTTAGCTAATGTCTGGTTTCTGTGCGCTAGTGTTGCATTTCCTATTTATTGATGTTGCTGCTTACTTAATTAGGCGATCTTTGAGTCGTCGGATATATATTTCGATGCACCGTGCCGCAGATGCCTCACGCGAGGATTGAAGCCCATGCCATCTTATTGTCAGGTACTACTACTTTTTTAATGCTGTGATAGCACATGAGAATCAGTAGCACATGTCACACAGAAAGAAAGATGATGTCGCCTGCAAGGCGCTAGTATTGTAACACATCGTGATACCCCATTCGCCACTTCAACACTGATGAACCTATTGACAGCCCCAACACTCACTATCTTTAGGTCGCACAAAACTCTATTGGTTCCCTTGAGAATCTGCAAGTAGAAATAATGGAATATACTACTGTTTCAGCGAACCGAGCACTGCCGGCTGTACTATCTGCTTGCTAATTCAGTATCAATGTCAAGTGTCAACAGCATCATCCATGGATGTGGAAAAGCAGGACCCACCAACTCATCATGTGGGGTCAGCAACCAGCAGGGTCCGATTCTACCACACCCCAATCCAGCCAACGCATTCGGCGCCCAACACCCATCTTTCCCACCAAGACACCTCGCAATATACAAATAAATATACTAAGATGAGCACGATTGCTGTGGCCGGTGGAACCGGCGGCATAGGAAAAACTATTGTCGAGGCATTGGTGCAGGAGCCCAAGTATCGGGTCATTGTCTTGACCCAAAATGTATGACCTCTAAAGACGATGCCTCGCGCGCACTAACTCATGAAACGTAGAGTCCCAAAGAAGATCCCGTTCTCAGACAGACGCAGCAAATCCAAATCAACTATAATGACATTGATTCTATCGTCGAAACGCTGGAGAAGCATGCGATTCACACCATCATCTCCGCCATCGGAATCTACACCGACGAAGCCGCCCAATCTCAGATGAACCTTGTCCAGGCTGCCGAGAAATCCAGTGTAACCAAGAGATTTGTCCCCAGCGAATATTCATTTATCCAAACCGAGGAGTATGTTTACCCTGCTTAGAACTAATGGCAACTTTGCTAACGAAACAGTCTCCTACCTCACGATCCCAGCATTAAGTACTGGCTTGATGCAGCTGAATTGCTGAAGAAAACCAAGCTGCAGTATACTCGGATCTGCCCCGGTGTCCTCATGGACTACTGGGGAATGCCTCGAGTGCGAACCAACATTCATCAACACGTTATCGGGATCGATGTAGCCAACTGCTGGGCCGGTATTCCTGGCGATGGTAATGACAAAATGAGCGTGACATATTCATACGACTTAGCAGCATATATCGTGAAGTTACTAGACCTCGAGGAGTGGCCTGAATTTAGCATTTTTGCGGGAGATGATATTACCTACAACGAGCTCCTCAAGCTTGCCGAGGAGGCTCGAGGTATGTGCTTCAGACACCCAAGAAGGGATCTGACTAACATGACCAGGCAAAAAATTCCATGTTGTTTACGACAGTGCTGAGAACGTCAAAGTAGGTCAGGTCACCGTACCACCGTTTCTTACTGGGCTTTCTGAGGAAGAGGCCCGGGAAATGACCGTTCTGGTGAGCCGACTCACTATCGCCGGTGCTTTTGATCTACCGCAGGAGCGTATGAATGCATTGTTTCCCGATATCAAGCCCATCAAGATGAGGGAGTTCATCACCAACACATGGAAGGACGAGGCATGACATGGACAACGTTGAATAATATTGAGTGGCTGATATATCTAGTTATTTCTCCAACTACCAAGACCTCGTAATTGCTTGCAAGATGTGGTATATAAAGATCACGTGCCCAGGCACTGCACCCAGCCATCTCATCCTAAATAACCAACCTTTCTTAACATATAAAGTACTATCAATGGTAAAACACAACTAAAGATCATCGCCATCATCTCCATCCATAGCCCCCTTGAAGGGGTTATCGAATACTAATACATGATCATCATCTGCAGAGTAGGTTAGCCTAACCACGAGACACCACATGTGCGGGAGGACAGCATACGGTCAATTGCATCCGGATCACTTTCCGCCTCAGTCATATTTCCAACCGCATTAACGATATGTGATGTCACATTATTGAGGTGTAGCATATCAATCAAGGACTCCCTGTGTTTGTGGGTTGGCTGGCTGAACGCCGGTGTAGGGACTTGAGTCTCGTGTTCGGACATTGTGCGCTTTGTTCTAGTACTATGATACTGTCTAATGCCGAGGTAAGGAAGTCTTTGAACAGGATAGAGTAACAATAGTGGCTGACTACAACCAAGTCTGCAGACCGTCAAGATTTATACCTTTGACATTTGTGACTGGTTGCCACCAACTATGGCAATCCGATCTGACATCAATGAAAGCTAAAGCCTGTTTATCCCAATAGAACTGGACATTGGACAGTAGATAAAGCCAAAGCAAAGGGGCTAATTTATCAAGATCTTCATGAACTATCTCTTGACATATTCGGAAAGAGAATAGGTCTTTCTGTAGCGTACAATTTTATTCGTCCGATGTATGGAGAAGAAGAAGAACCATTATCCAGCACCAAACGCCAATCCGGGGTAATAGCTAATCTGGAGCCACCCAAAATATCATCCTGGGCTTTTAACATAACCCTTAAAACATCAAACACCAATTTAATCAAAATCCTCCACATCCCATGTTGAATCCGGCGGTCCATCTGTGATACCAATTAGCCATCTTTTGCTCCTCCCCCATCATTACAACCAAGAGATCTCGTACAGCCATCTTGAATAGAAAGCAAATACCCAATCGTCTCAATCAAACTCGGCGAGTCCTCCACAGGAGGGACCTCCTCGATGAGATCCTCCAGACTGGGAGAACTGTGATTTTGACTCCCAAGCTCAGGTTCAGGCTTTCTGACTTCTTCAACCGCGATGCCCATAGTATTCTTCTCAGAAGGGGTGGACATGGCGATGGATGTGCCTCCTTATGGAGACTATCGATCGATCGATAGATAGGTAGATAGTAGGCAAAGCCTCGATAGTGTCTTGTAGTTTCTCGATAGAATACCTCGTAGCGCAGGTACTAGCTACAATCTCCATCCCTCCATAACAGAGCAGCAAAAGTTCGCCATCACAGGCAACTTAAATAGCGTGCAAGCAACCTCCAAACCATCAAGTCTTGACATCAAGCGATAATCCATAACCTAGGCTCAATTCGCGGGGTGGACTGGTAGCTTTCGATATTTACGACAAAAAAGGTGAGGTCATGGGATCACCAGTGAACCTTCAAGTGGTTACAGGGGAGCGTGCTCAATTTTGTGTCTTGTCATCGGGCCTCGATTGAAGTCTGTTGGTTGATTTGACATGATTGTCCTTGGTTGATAGTACAGGGATTCATGGGGCGGGTGGCCTGATAAGGTACGGCCAAACCTAATTTTAGACCATGGCAGATGTGTTCTGGGGGCGTCCTAATATCCTGGTACCGATGCCAGGGGAGGAAATAGGGGCTTCTTCTGAGATTGGGAGGAGCCGTTGATTCATTGAAACTGATCGATAGCTGCAGGAGCAATAGCTACTCTACTGTATTCGGATGGGCCCGAAGTGCAGTGTGTTGTTTACCACTCTTTCAGTAGCACATGACCGATACTTAATGGACTAATGGGCTAGCCTGGCCAAGCATGCGATCCAGATCATATATACTGATGAAAGGCCACCCCATGCGACCGACTGAAGGCCCGACTAACACACTCAGTGTAAAAATAATTGTGAAAAGAGAGCAATTCAAAAATGGAAAAAGCAAAAAGAAATGATTCAAGGCCCGAGCCGCGGATCGAACGCGGGACCTCTCGCAGATATGCTTGGGTTTGTATCCCTAAGCGAGAATCATACCACTAGACCACCCGGGCTTGATATATTATGTTGCAGTATTTCTTGATATGAGAAAGGGAGCATAGTTTCAGCCAGGATCCGCTTTCATGCCTTCTTTGAGCCAAATAATAGACGCATTCACCTTCTAACATATCAATCAATATAGTTCCTAAACCCCTTCAAAGCCATCTTTTGCTTCAAACCTTGGCAGAGAACGGAAACTCGAGCGGTCAATGTGACGTCAAATTTTTCCACAAGGAGAAACACTCACCTCACTGTACCTCTTTCCGTGTCATCTCACATCAGGTAATACACCATCAGCATTCATGGCATCGAAGTATTACTGTATCGGCGCCGGATTCTGTGGAACAGTCTGGGCCATCTCTGATGATGGTCAAGCTGTCAAGCGAGAAGATGGCGGTCCAGACAGGTCTCTCGCTAACGATTATGCTATGCATCAACGGATCCTCCAGAGCTTTTCCCGACTGACAGACATTAAACGAAGATCCAGTATCCACCAAACATTCCCCCAAGTCCGGGTCTCGCAGTGTCATCACTTCATTTCTCCAAACGATCAGTGGTGGACAGAAATTCTCCCCCTCTTCCCATCGCAGTACTCACCCTGCAATGCCATCGTCTCAGACCGCATTCCCCCATTTCCCAAGCAGACCAGAACACTCGTTGTTAATAAATACTGCAACCCAGCGATACAAACAGAGATACTGACAAGTGCCGCCAATAGAGACTGTCTGATACGGCCATACCTGGGTAGACGACGGACGCAGAGGACCGAGGTTAGCAGACCCTCGAGGTTTGCAGCATTCTCACTGAGAAACTACCCATTACACGAAGACCAGATGGAAGATATCAGTATACCGACCGAAGACATGCAGAGATATGCTCGTATGATGGGTGAGGCATTGGCAACTCTACACTGGCTCGGTGAGGTGGATGGAAATGATATTGAATTTGTTCTGGCTCCTCCCCCTTTTCACGAAGAAGAGCCCAACACCAACACAATCACCAATGTTCTTGGTCGGCATACTATGTGGATGCTGGACTTCGATCTGTGTCGATATATGCCCATGAGCGATGCTGGGGTCCAGCAGGCTGTTACTTCTTTTTGGCGCAATGACCCGTTCTACCCCCGACCGCAGAGCAAGCTGTGGGGTGATTTTCGCGAGCAATATCTGATGAGTAGCGAAGAGATCATGAACAAGTACAGTCAGGTTGATATCGATCAGCGACTACCTTTCGCTCGAGATTTCATTGGATTGATTGAGACGAAATAGGATTACAACAAAGTGCTCTCAGCTCAAGACACGCATTTCATCGAGGGGAAGGGTCTTTATGAGTATGCGGTGACACGTGTGGCCGTGATGCGTTGGAGCAAGCTGCATTGGGCATCGGCCCAGATCACTACCAATTACTGGCGGTCTGAGGCCTAGATCAGGTAGCGACCGAAGCAGGCACGGATCAGAATTTAGCTCTTCTATTTTCCTGCATGCCATACAAATCTATGCGAAACTGATAAGGCTGCAGATGAACAGCTCCAACAAGGCGTTGCTCCTAGACATATGGCTATTCTTGAGCTGGAGGACTAGGATAAAACCAGACTAGCCGGCTGCAAGGGAAGTAGATCAGCCCAGCTGTCCCTGCGGATGTCAGACGGTCAGTCGCTTGACTCAGAGGAGGTACCTGGATGACACAAAATTCAATTAATCACCGACCATGTCAGGCGACGAATCGCGAGGGATTTCTCTGCTTATCTTCCGACACTTACGTGGACATTAAATATCAACTTGGCTCGGACTCCGATCGTGTATCCATAGAGCGCAGACTAATCTATCAAGCAAGCACTATGCCAGGATTCTTCCCCTATAGCCGAGACCTATTATTGGCGCCATGACCAGGATGCCTTCACGGCTGAGTGGGAACTGCACATATCAGAGCGACGAACCGTGGCACCACTCAGGTGACGTAATGTCGATCCATGCAATTTGGGTGATGGAGACCCGGTGACAGGGGTCACTCCAAGTCTGGGCCTCCGTGTCCTGGAGGACCGTGTGTTGGCATTCCGAGGGCGCGGGGTTTTCTTATAACGGTGCTCGGATCCTTTCTCCCTTCGTGATGTTGTCTTTCTTTTTTTGTTAGACGCGGATTCTTCTGCAGAAGTTGGAAACCCGCTTCCGCGTTCTTCTTGCCCTACCATTTCAACCTATGGAAAGATTTCGTCATTAGCAGGTCGCGCGGGTACGCTTCTCTTGCAGTACCAGAGCGATCTCCCTACACTTGCAGAGAACTCTGTTGGTCGACAGGAATGGTTTAAGCACAGTGACAGTGACTATAAACGTCTGTTCTCTGTGCACCAGAAAGGGCAGTCTCAGGTATGCGCTTTCAACTGGCATCGTCATGAAGTTACGGACGCTAATGATCTAAGATCTGACCAGCACCCCGCCCGACCACACTCGCCAGTCGATTAGCGGTACGAAGACACGACACAACTAGACACGATGTCGAACACAATGGCACAGCCGGCTGAAAGTTCGGTGAGCTACGATCTTACCAGGAAAAGCCATATGGGGGGAGACTGCATTCTGAAGCGCTTTTCACATTGGTTTTGGTCGGTGTGGATGATCGCCGGGTCTGGGACCCACGATGCCCTTGCGGATCCCGCGAATCACCCCAAAGCGACAAACGGTGCCTCCACAAAGACGAACGGATGTGCTGGAACAGCGAGGGGTGGTTTGTCTGCCACTGGAGAATGCGACACAGGACTGCGGGAACAGTCCTCTGGAAACGAGCATAATTATCCTTGCAAGGCATGCCAGACATGGGGTGTTGTTTGCGACCAGCAGAGACCGCGCTGCTCGCATTGCTTGGATCAGCAGATACTGTGCTTTTATGTGGCACCTCTGCCAAAACCACCGAAGCGGTCAAACAAGTCGCGTTCCCGCCACGTTGAGATCGTAAATTCATCGCCCAGACTGTTGACGAGTTGACTTTTAATGAATCACGAGTGAATGAAGTTACTTTGGTCTTTCTACACAGCTCTTCTCTTATCGTCACGATAGTTTATTTCCGGCCGATAAGATAGGCATGTGCCTTAGATAGCTCTATTATCCAGTCACCCCACATGCGGGGGAAGACTAGCAGAAGGTTGCTCAAGGGAGTGACACTTGGACTCCTGGTGACTGATCACAAAATCGTATATTTCCGTATGCGGTATCCGGACGGAGAGTAGCATATTCAGGACATGCACGAATTGCCACCGTTCTTCACGGCGGATATCCAACGCGGACCAAAACAACTGCGTCCACATCAAACAAGAGATTGTGCAAGTTTAAGATTGTACTAATCGAATCTAAAAAAGACACACCCCGCGATCACTGATTTGACTTACCTCGGATACTTGGTTTCAACATGCGCCATTGCTAGCAGTCGTCGGAGCACTGTCAGCCGATTCCCCCGCCACAAGGTACCGTGGTACATATTTAGAGAAGTAATCTCTACAAGAGCAGTCTAAACTTTTGACTTCTATTTACAACTGGGTGCACGAGGGCGCTTCAAGGTTAGTTGCCGTTACCGTTCGCTTCACCATCGAGCTGACTGACACATGAACAGATGGAAGCAGAATACATTCGGATTGCGGACGCAATCCAACAAGAAGCTCGCAAGAATGACAAGAAGCGACTTCTCGTTGCTATAGCTGGAATACCAGGCTCTGGCAAGACAACCACAGCTTCAGCTGTCGCTCAACAACTCCGAGCCGAGTCACAACCAAATAAAATAGCACTCATTTCTATGGACGGCTTCCACTTGTCGCGGGCGGCATTGGACGTTCTTCCTAACCGTGAAGAGGCATACATCCGACGTGGTGCACCATGGACCTTTGACGCAGTGCGTTTCGTTACGTTTGTTCAACAGCTACGACATTGGGCAGACTCTACCCCGTTTTCCTCAGAAGGAGACTCATCATCTGACGCTGCTGTGATATATGCACCGTCATTTGACCACGAGGCGAAAGACCCCGTTGAGAACGGCATGGCTATCACAAGCGATGCCTCCATTATTATCATCGAAGGCAATTATCTCCTGTTAAACGAAGATCACTGGCGTGATGTGTCGCAATTGGTGGACTATCGCATATTTGTCGACGCAGACTTGCAGGAAGCCAGGGGAAGAGTAGCCCGACGACATGTCAGTGCGGGGATTGAAAAGACATTGGAAGATGGCTTCCGTCGTGTTGACAGCAATGACTACTTGAATGCGCTGCATATTCAGGGGAAACTGATACGGCCTGATATGGTGGTTAAAAGTGTGACGGAAATCGCATAAGATATTATCTAGTGTACATATCTAGGGTACAGAGTGCTCATAATAAGACAGCTTCAACCTGAAAGGAAGCTAAATTCGGGAAAATACCAGAGCAAACCCATCACTCCTTGATCTTGCTTTTGTGGAAAACATCTATGAGCCGAATTAGTTAACAATCACCAAGGGAACGAGACAGAGTAGTAGTAATTACTCACCCGGAATCTCAGGCATCCAACGAACCCTACTCTGACAGAAGAACTCCCCCTTAGGCGGCAACACCTCCGGATCATCCAATGTCCCTACACAAATATACCGGAAGTCATTCTTGACCGCATCCTACACACCACCCATTAGCCAACCTCTTGCTGCACTCACTACCCGCCAACACCCTCAAAGAGACAGAACCTACCCCATACTCGCAAATATAACTCCCACAATCCCCACAAAACTCCCGATGGATCATACTCCCAGACCCATTATCACCCACATACTCCTTCAGCGTGCCAGATGTGATCTGAAGAGCATCCTTGGGGACCTTGGCGGTTAGACCGTAGTTCGTTCCGAAAGCTTTCTATAATCCGGGGTATTTGTTAGTCAAGTGAACACCTTGTGGACGGCAATTATTTATAGATCGCAGATCATAACCGTGGAGCTATTTGGCTAGGCTAACCTTGCAGCTGCGACAATGGCAGAGGGACGTGCGGGCATCGTCCGGAGATGAGAGGTTAAGGTTATAGGTGATTTTATGACAGAAGCAGGAGCCGGGGTAGGATTGCATTTTGGATAGATGGTGATGAGATTGATGATAACGAGCAATTCTGGTTCCGTTTGGTGGTTTCTGTGCAGTAACTGAGTAAATGTTATTGCTGGGCTTATTATAACTGAGAATTCTGGGCTTGTTGTATACAGCGATGCGCCTGACGAATGTTGACGTCACTGCTGTACTACTACCCCGGCGGAGAAAGATACTCATGATCGGCGCGGACATGTTATCTTCAGCAACTGGGTGGATTTATTTATTCTTTATCGAAGATACGAAATAATAATGAATCAAATATAAGAGCAGGTTACTGACCATGGCACAAAAGCTATATCAGCCCTCGATAACCGTCGTAAGATTCATTTGATGGTTGTCTGCAGCGATAGCGTGATGTGATCATGACCGAATGAATCCCCTCATTTCTTTCGGCAGCTACCCGATCAGCTGATGTCTTCGCATCTTTTAATATTCCCCGACTGTCGCCTCTTCTATTCATTCCTTTTTATCTGACAAGAAACGGCGATCGCCCCGCGCGTATGCTGATCAGCCGAAAGGCTTATTCTTTCGCTCCTCTTTTTACATGCCGCCGCAGCGTACATAGTAGCATCAACCGGCGTAGTTTATCCGCCACATTCAAAATGTCGCACAAGGAACAGCCTCACGAGTCGCAACTTGAGAAGCGCGCTGTCGTTTCTTCATTTATTTTCAAGTTTCCCAAGGGTCCGTCTGAGAGACCGGTTGTTGCGCTCTTCAAGCGCAGTGATAAGGTGCGGACGTACAGGTTCGTTTGCCCCATACTTTGATTTATTGCTGCAGTTTTCGCTAATTGTCGCAACACAGCCACCATCTTGCTCCGATATCTGGCAGCATAAGTCGCAGCGACAAATTTCCTCTCGAAGCAGCGTGGCGCGAATTGGCCGAAGAAACCTCCCTCGACCAATCTTCGCTCATACACTGGCGCACTGGGAAGCCGTTCACCTTTGGAGATCGATCTGTCAATCGCGAATGGACTGTTCATCCTTTTGCTTTCAAGCTGAAAGACCCATCCGAAGGAGGAAAAGGCGAAGGCGCTATCAAGATAGACTGGGAACACGAAGGATGGGAATGGTACGATCCACAATCGGTGCTGGACAGAGAAGACTTGGAGATTGTCCCGCGTCTAAAAGACTCCCTGCGACGAGTCTGGTTTGAAGGAGAATTGAGCGAGCGCGCAGCCAAGACCCTTTCACTTGGTCTAGAGCGTCTACGAAGCGACCACGAGAGCGGAGCACAGGAATTGACTGCTATCGCGCTGGTGGCCTTCCGGGATTTCATTGTTCAGACGCAAGATGAGATCAATAGTGAGGAATGGTGGAAGACTGTTCGCATGGCAGCGTGGCATATTATCAAGAATGGCCGAGAAAGTATGGGCGCATCGACGATGAATGCTCTAATTGCCGTTTTGGACGAGATAAAGGACATACTCGTGGACGAGCAGACAAACCCGCAGCATACATTGGAGCGGGTCCTGAATGTGCTCGATCATCATCTCAAGTGTCGGAAGAGTCGTCAAACGCAAGTGAAGGATGCCTTTGCAAATTACATTCGATTCAAGTTCCTGCATCACGGGGAAGCGCTGGATAAACTTACCATCTTGACTGTTTCGGCTAGCTCGACTATCCGTGACAGCATCTTGGAGGCGTATGCATCGCTGGACATCCGAAAGCTGGAACTTCGCATTCTCGAGTCGCGGCCACTATTCGAAGGCACTAGTATAGGCTCATCCATCGTCAGCAACTTCAAGTCACGGTTCCTCGACACCCCCGGTAAAGAACTGAAAGTGAAAATATACACAGACGCATCTGCCGCTTTGGCTGCCGCCGACGTGGATTTGTTACTCCTCGGTGCCGACCGCATATCCAGCACAAAAGGAGTGAGCAACAAGACTGGCTCATTACCAGCCGTTCTTTGCACAAAACACGTTAGTCCTAATGCCCAGATCGCTGTTCTCAGCGACCTCGAGAAGATTAACTGTGTCGGGAGCATGATTGATGATGATCATCATGAAGACAACGATCCGATGGAGGTCATCAGTGCCTGGCGCAACGACGGCGTCAAAGCAGTGCGGGTGCTCGAAGATGGCATGAAGGAGGCTGATGCAGAGGGGTCGTCGACGGTCGAGGTGAAGAATACCTACTTTGAATGGGTGCCGTTGTATATGGTCGATGCGTTTGTTAGCGAAGAGGGCGTTATGGATGAGAGCCGCATTCGGGAGAGGTCGAAACAACTAGGGGAGACGGTTAATAGGTTTTTTGAGGATTTGTGAAGCTGCCATAGTGATTGGGTTTAGGAACGGGATAGTGATGGACTTACATATACTAATGATATTTACTATAATGTACCCATAATATACATATACTCCAAGATCATGGCCCCCCTTTGAGAATTTGAACACTTGCTTCTGCTTGAATGACTCATTTTGTCTACTATCCTCTCCAGGAAGAGATCCCCTCCCTTTCTACAGAGCAATTAGACTCTATCCGCCTACTAAGTCGATAGTTTCATCTATCCTCTATAACCGTGGTAACCACCCCATCTACACCAATGCAGCAGATCACTTCCTCAAAAACGTCAACGCAGCCAAACACAACGCATCCACACCCGTCCTCAACGTCGGCTGCACCACCGGCGCAAACAGGGCCGAATGATTCCCCGGAATTTCCTCAACCTTGCCCTCCCTCTCAGCCCTATCCCAAACCTCCTGATCCACACCCCCAAGCAACCAAAAACAGCTCGGAATACCCCGACAAGTAGCAAGGGTACTAAAGTCCTCGGCGATATTAGTCCTGGCCACATCAGGATCAAAATCCTTAAAATGCCCCGCAAACGTCTCCGCAACCCTCCTAGCCACATCCCCATCATTAACCGTAGGCGGAAACCTCCTCGTCGGGGTAAACACCGGCGACACCGGCGAACCACTAGCCAGACACTCGGCCTGCACAATCCTCTTAATGCCCTCAATAATCTGCTCCCTAACCTCCAACCTCACAGACCTAAAATCCACCCCAATCTCCGCCCGATCCGCAATAATATTCTCCGTCTGACCCGCCTGCAAACTCCCCACCGTCAACACCGCCAAATCCGCCGGATTAATCTCCCGACTCACGATACTCTGCAACCTCACCACAATATGCGCCGCAAGCAACACCGGATCCACCGTCTGATGCGGCTGCGACCCATGTCCACCCCTCCCAAACACCGTAATCTTCATACTATCCGCCGCCGCCATAATCGCCCCCTCGCGGGACGCGACACTCCCCGCCCGCATGCGCATGACATGTTGGCCAAGAACTACGTCCGGCACGGGGATGCGCGAGTAAAGCCCGTCGTCGACCATGGCTTGTGCGCCGCCCCCGCGCTCTTCGTCCGGCTGGAATAGCACGATGAGCGTCCCGCTCCATGCATGCCGCAGTTTGACGAGGGTTTCGGCTGCCGCGAGGAGACAGGTGATGTGCATGTCGTGTCCGCAGGCGTGCATGACGGGTCGGTCGTTGCCGTCTGTGTCGCGCATGGTGATGGTGCTGGCGTAGGGCAGGTTGGTTAGTTCCTTGACGGGGAGGGCGTCCATGTCTGCGCGGAGCAGGACGGTTTGGTTGTTTTTGGATTCGTCCGTGACATTGCGGAAGACGCCGGCGAGACCGTACCCGCCGATGTGGGTGTGGATGTCGAAGACACCGAGTTGGGTGAGATGCGCGGCGAGTTTTTCTGAGGTCTGTTTCTCTTGTCTAGAGAGTTCGGGGTGCGCGTGGAAGTGTTTGTAGAGGGTTTCGTAGGGGGTGAGGTCTAGGGGGTGGGAGGAGAGGAGGGATGATATGGTGGTGGTGGAGTGAGTCATGTTGGGTGTGGATGGTAGTTGTTTAGTTGATTAGCTACTGGTGGGTTGTTAGGTATGAATTGGTAGTGGTAAAGGGAAAGAGATGCATGTCAGATTAAGCTGGTGTTTGATGAAGCTAACTAGTCCGTAATTGCTCTAGTTTTGTCACTAAGATGTTGGGCTGAGATTGCGTGTGTTGGAGAAGTGATCTTAGTCTTTGATGTGACTAACGGCGGATCGGTGGGCTGTATACAGAGCGGAGACTAAACATTGCAAGGTAGTATTTTCAGGGCAATGGTTTACTCCATCACTGATCTGCTAATCGCCTCTACTGAGTCACACATTAGAAATTACAGACTCGCTGAACAAACATCACGCAAGATCAAGTTAATTATTACAAAGTCATTCTGATAAATTTCAGAGCTACGCCCTCACCGCTTTCCCCCACATTTTATTGCCGCTGTCACTCCGCATTGTTATCGATAACCAAGATCTCCAGATACTAGAGTCGTGTATCAGCGTTTGCTCTATCTTACGCTACACTATAAATGTACATAAGTGAACTAATAAGAGACACAGTTTGAAAAGTTTCCCTTCAGGAGAAAAAAGAGTTAGCTGACTGCGAAGCCCAAATACCAAGGATAACATTCAACGATCCTGAACAACCCGAAGAAGCAAAATTGAAGATCATTAAAAACATTAGGGAATTCAAAGAATACTAGTTTCAGATAGCACGTCTCGCTGATAGAATCGCGAGCAAAGGCGCCAGAAACTGCCGATGAGTGCACGGAATGGCCGACACCGAAGGCCGAATCCTCTTCCATGCAGGCAGGAGTTTCGGCTTCGCAACGCCGGTCACGAACAAGAAGCAACCGTTTGAAACCCATCGGACATCTGGTTCCCCGACCTCCGTGATGGCCGCCCACGCAATGTTAGACTTCTGCTTCCGAACGCCGAGCTGTAAGCCCCGAACCCCGTATCTATAGGGCGTTCCGATGATCTGCGATCATGAGATTGCCAGGTCTTTGATAGAGATATTCACTGTACTTCCTGATGGTTTTGCGATCTGCAGGTGCATTTTAAGGCTCATTGGGTTGGGATTTTTACCCTAGAAAGTATGAAGTCATTGGTAAAATGAAGGCAAGATTTCGCATATGATTTGAAACATAGCTATTAAAAGGATAGTATATGATTTTACATCATACGTCCATACTACCTGTATCTCTTGGAAAATCATAATACATCTTTGGGTATAAGAATGGCTCGCCCTATATTTACAGTGCTGTATTGCTATATATCACATATTTCTTTTCTAGCTATTCATGCATCGATCACATACAGGGAACTGGAGATCACCGGAGCACGCAATTTGAGTTTGCGTCTCTTTCAAGGGGATGGATAGTGTCCTTCCATATGAATTGGATGCAAGGTCGGACGCAAGATGGAGTAGATTATAACCGAGGCTAGTCTCTCCCCCGCCTTCCCACGGTCGGTCTTTCGCTCATTTACTATATATTCGGGGATTCGTTCCTGAGATGGTGGACTTTTCTCGCCGACTCTATCTCCTCGTCCCCTGACTATTGAGCACAAGAGTATATCATCCGAGATGACCCTCAACCAGTTTCTACAGACCGACCGTGAGACATATTCCTATGTCTTCATGAAGAATGTCGACATTCCCTTGAAAACCTCTGGCAAAGGAGTCCTCCGCGCCAACGTCTTTCTCCCCAAAGACGCCGCCCCATTCGGCTCGCAAACCTACCCGGTGATCGCTACCTATGGTCCCTGTTCGTATAGCTGCTAGCAAATGATCTAGTGCACCACTAACATAAATTCAGATGGCAAAGATGTTCCGTATTCTGTCTTCAATCGGAGTAGCTTTGATGAGGTGAACCCACAGCACAAGTCCGCCCATTCAGCATGGGAAACCCCCGACCCAGGGTACTGGACTCAACGGGGCTACATCGTCTTGAGAGTAGACGAGAGAGGAACTGGGCAAAGTCCAGGGCACTTAGACGTCCTGTCCCGTGGAACCAGTGAGACCTTCTTTGACGTGATCGAGTGGGCTGCTGAGCAGGAATGGTCGACCGGCAAGGTCGGCCTGCTGGGGGTCAGCTACTACGCCGCTACGCAGTGGAGCGTGGCAGCTCGCAGACCCAAGGGGCTCGCCGCGATCGTTCCTTGGGAGGGCTTCAGTGACTATAACCGAGAGGCTGTTCGTCATGGTGGCATCCTCGCGGACCAATTTATAGGTCGGTCAGCACCCCCTTTGGTATGTCACGATTTCCCCGATACTGACTGCGCCGGCTGTTTGGGATCGCACAGGGATATGGTGGTCTCGCCAAGTACTAACCAACCAATATGGCACCCCCGGTCGCTGGGGTGATCCAACTCTCGAAGGGGACCTGGATTCGGAGACCCGGGCCCAAAACCTGGCTGGCTTGACCGACAACACCGTCCAGTATCCGTTCGCGGACGATGAGCAAAACAAGTCTCGAGTGTTTGCTGTTGAGGATGTCGAAGTCCCCCTTCTCAGTGTGGCCAACTGGGTAAGCCAGCCACGAGACCTGCTATAAATACGAGTGTGTGCTAATATATAGGGCTAGGGTGGTATTTTGCTGCACTTGCGTGGTAATGTGGTCGGATGGATGCGAGCGTCTTCTCGATACAAGTCTCTACGCTTCGTCGTCGGCCGACATGACTTACCCTTCTACTGGGAGCAATCGGCGGAGCTGCAACGGTCGTTTCTGGATTGCTTCTTGAGAGATGACGACCATGCGGGCTGGAAAACCAATCAGCCCCGGGTCTATCTCACTCTGCGGAACAAGGATTGCCATCTCAGGAATGAGTTGGATCAGCCGGGTCGCCCCGAGGCGGATTGGCCTATCCCCGACACCCAGTATACCAAGTTTTTCCTTACGCCGAAGCGTACTCTATATACCGTAGCCGCCCAGACGACGGACACATGCACCTACGATGCGCTCCATGGGTAGGTGATTTCTCTCCTAACTACATCACTTTCGTATCCTAACTTCTGTACAGGGACCCTATCCAATTCCATTATACGCCCAGTTCTCCCATTGAGATTACGGGGCATATCGTTGTGCACTTAACCATTTCCGCCTCTCGACAAAACCCTGACAATGCACCCCCTTCTGATATAGATATCTTCGCCACCCTGCGCAAGCTGGATAAGGAGGGAAACGAAGTGTTCTACACAGGGACCGTCGGCGATCCGGCTCCCGTTGTCAAGGGGTGGCTGCGTGTTTCACACCGCAAGGTGGACGAGACACATCCTTTGCACCGCCCTTACCTGCCATATCGCAGCTACTCCCGTGCTGATGTGCTGCCGGTGGTAGAGGATGATAAGTATGCAGTTGACGTGGAAATGTGGCCGACAAACACGGTACTGGAAGCCGGAGAATCACTCGTACTGGAGATTGCGGGTCACGACACGCAGGGTGTGGGCTTGTTTTCGCATCAGCATCCAGAGGACCGCGCCCCAAGCAAGCTTGCAGGCCTGAATCACGTAGAGGTGGGTAGGGATAGTAGCTGGATTTTGCTGCCTGTTATCCCAGCGCGGAACTAGCATCGGAGAATAAATGTTGTTATCAGCCCTCTGCATAGACGGCCATATCCATCACCGGGCTAGCACTGGGATGAAATATTCAGAACATAATTGGGGAACAGTGATCCTGTCGCATACAGAGACAACTTCGTCCATCCTCCTATGGGTTCTCAGACCCTATTTACTTTATAGCAGACCTCCTTAACTTTAGAAGCCCTGTGCCCTCACCGCCTTTCCCCACAACTTTGGCCTGGTATTTGCCGTCGCCACTCCACGACCTCCAATCTAGCTATTAACAACGGAGGTGAAGATGTACTAGGATCGGTCGTCGCATTCTGTTAGTCGGATGTTCTACTACATTAAGCTATACACAAGAAAACAGAAACAATGAAAGCTTCAACCAAGGAACGGAAGAGAGCGGCCGACCGCGAAGCGCAACGAATCAACCGTGCTCGAACTAAAGACTACATTCAACACTTGGAGAAAACGGTACAAGTTCTGTCTGGCCAACAGGAATCGGCGACACTGAAAGAGAACTATACAAAACATCACAAGCTGTTAACGGACCTACAAGGGACATTGAAGAAGATAGCACGACTTGCCAATAGCGCCGTAAATCAAGATCTCAGTCAGACCGAAGAGCCTGCTGCCGAGGATAGCAAGTCACAAAACAACCAGCAAAAGCAATCACCACATAGCGAGCTGGAAGATCTTGAGGATGCGACTAGGAGTGTTCCAAGAATTACTACTATCTCTCGGACAAATCTACATCCCGACAACTTCTTTGGAATTGACTTTGAATGCAGCGATCGCGAACGGAACTTTCTTCTAGTGCTTGGGAGCGCCTTTAGTTTGATACAGGCATACTCGAATGACCACGCACTACTCAATGCCTCACCCAAAACGGATGACGATATCTGTATTCGTGCCGTTGTGGATGGATGGGATGCTGCAGAGGACAGATATCCATTTGACCCGGCCTGGAAGCTGCTTCAAGCTGTTGACCAGGGCCTATATTACAGATGTGATTCTGTCACACGCATTGCTTTGTTACGAGTAATGAGATATATGCTGCTTGTGCTTACTCCCACCTGAAGCAGAGCTAGGTTCTGACTGCTAACCCATGTATATAGGGAAAGATGGGCTTTCCTCAATTCTCTATCCCCGACTACATGCGTGCTGGGTAATTAACCCTTCCAACCACCTTTGTGTATCTTGCTAATCTCCGAGATAGTCACATACAATGTACCATTCCACATGCACCATTTCTTGACTTCTTACCTCTGTAAGTGAACACTCGAACCCATGCCATCCAAAGGTATGTGTGTACTCATACAAGGTAGCCCGCAGTTTCGCGATTACTGGATTCTGAGCGGCATCGATTACGCATCGGAGAGTTGTGCAGCGGAGTTCACGAAGAGAATTCAATTTGTATGGCCATTCGAATTGAGGGACGTTTTTCTGAAAGAGGTGTCTACCGGGAACTACCTTTTCTCTCACGAATTCGACACGAGATACTACAGTTCGGAGTACTGGATGTTCGACAGTCCTACTGCACCTATGCCGCTTTTACCTCAGTATGACACGCTTCCTGACCTTCACCCGACTACATTGGATGACATTTCAACTCTTTGTGAAAATATTGCAGAGGATGTTCAATGAATACATGACCATTCGCTAATAGCTAAAGAGAAAGAAAGCTTCTGGTCTTAATGATGTTCACGCCGGCAGGAAACACAATCGCTACTAATGCAAATGGTAACATCAAGGCCTTGCCATCGATTGTCCAATAACAAGCATTTTGTCTTTAGCCATTGACATGCATGTTGAGTTACATCGTTGGAGGCGGAAAGGGTGATTTAACTTTTTGCCACTGGCTCTGAGTGCGCGGAAGTGGACAATTTCGAGTCCGCACTTCCAAGAGAACCAAACCGTGCGAGTCAGGAGTTCTGACGTTGCAGTACCGGTCACAGATCAAAAGGACCATTCGGAAGCCATCTGCTCCGTAACTTTGTGGCAGTCGCTCAGTTCTGTTCCAACTTCCGTCCCGAGTGCCCTACGGAGTCGATCTATTGAGGGTCCACCGACCCACTTTCGAGTCGCGTTTTCGACGTCGCAAACCCAGATCTACAAACCATTCTACTACGTAGTATACAATAAGCATCGCATACTCTTACCAATCAATCTAGATAATAAATACCATATTTTCGCCCAAGTAAATTCCATCCTCTGTAATCACAATACTCTTCAATCTCACACCCTACATCACCATGACATCCCGTTCACTGCTCATCACCGGAGTTTCCGGATACATGTACGTGTAAATCCCATTACCAACAACACAGTACCTACCCTAATACACCTCACAGTGGAGGAACCATCCTATCCTCCATCCTCGAAGACAAAAGCCAATGGACCAAGCAACTCGACATCCACGCCCTCGTGCGAAGCGAAGCACAAGCCAACACAGTCCAACAACTCGGCGTCAAGCCGGTAATGTTCTCCAGCTTCAACGAGACAGATCGTCTCGAGAAGATCGCCGAAGACTTCGATGGTAACCCCCTCCCCTTCCCACGTCCCACCTCACCATCATTCTCACCTCACCAAAATGCAGTCATAATCCACGCCGGCGCCGGCTGGCACACCCCCTCCGCGAAAGCCCTAATCACGGGCCAAGGCACCCGGAAAACCAGATTCGGGCAAGCAGCGCACTACATCCAAATATCCGGAACATCGAACCTAAGCGACCGACCTCACACAGACAACCACACAGACACGCACGTCTTCACGGACTCCGAAGACATCTACTCCTACGAAAAGTACCGCGAATCGCGCGAAACATACCACCAACGCACGACCGACATCACCGTATGCGAGACCGGCGAAGCCCTCGGCGTAAGCACATACATCGTCATGGCACCGACTATCTTCGGCCAAGGCACGGGGCCATTCAACCGCTACTCGATCCAGCTGCCAGCTATGATCGCGGACGCGTTGAAATCCGGTGCCGTTAGCGTCGTCGGCACGGGAAATACCGTCTGGAGCCATGTGCATATCCAAGACTTGGCTGGCTTGTTTGTCGTGATGTTGCAGAAGATCTGTACCGGGGTGGAGATTCCTTCTGGGAAGAAGGGGATCTACTTTTGTGAAACGGGCCAGCATTCGCATCGCGAGTTCTCGGAGAGGTTGGCTGTCGCTGCTTGCGAGTTGGGGGTGTTGCCTTCGGCGGATGTGAGGGAGGTTAGTTTGCAGGAGGCGGGGGAGAAGTTGGCGTTGGGGAGTGTTTCGAGGGCGGAGTTGTCGTTTGCTGCGAAGTGAGTTTGGGCTGTTCCCTTGCTTTGCTCTCGTGATGATGATATGTGGGTAGAGGATATGATGAGATGCTGACCTGATTTATTTTTGTCTTACAGTGCTCGGACGAAGGCTGTGTTGGGCCGTGAATTGGGTTGGGTGCCCTTGCATGGTGAGGAGTGGGAAACTACTTTCCATGATGAAGTTAGCGCGTTTGTTAAGAACCCTCCGGGTGAGCGGGATGTTCCGGAGTTTTTAAGGAAACGTTAGATGCATATTTGTATATATGCGGGCTATGAGGGTATAGTATATGTCACTGTTTTGAAAGATATATGAAGATAAGGTATCAGAAGGAAGAGACATCTTAGAGAAAATACAATTTGCCGCGGAAATCGCAATGGTAACCAACAAAAGGCCAGGAAACACGTGGAAGTATGCACATTCAAATTATTTCTTACTGCGCCGCGGCAGCTTCGAGCATCGTATGTCACAATGTCAAATCCTGATGAAGTCTCAAATATGCCTATCAGGCCTCCTAGAACAGGAGGCTTCACGGAAATGAAATGGGAAGCTGGAGCGGGTGGCCAACTTGGCATGCTAGGATGAGATGTTTTGGATCTGGCAGTGAATGTGATGATTGTTAGATGAACTGAAGAAGTACACATTTTATCTTAAGCGCAAAGTCTTTGTAGAAGAAATGAAATAATTCACCTTAACTACTAATCTCCCGGCATGTAGCTATATGATGCCCGAGTAGCGGGCCTGTGCTATCCTCAGAGGCAGAAATTTATATTCAAGATATCGTTCTTCTAGTAGGTTGATGGTCTCAATGAGGCGATGAAGACTTGCAAACTATATACTTAAGTTTATATGCTGTCCATTCTTCCAAAACCTCTCATCCACACAGCTCACTGGCAGAGGAACCCACTCTGATAACTGTATAATTTGTGACCCAAGCACGTAGTGTAACCAATCAAGCAGGTAACCCCCCAGTAGAAGCCATATCCTCTCTCACACCCCTCCAATCAACATACCCAACCCCCTAGATTTTACACCGACCTCCACCCCTCCTCAGAATCTCATCCACCCCCCTCCCCGCCTCCTCTACATCCCTCCCCAAATCACGAAACCACAACCACTCAAACCACCCAGCCTGCAACTTCCCCAACACCTTATACATATCCTTCCCCGTCTCAGGATGCTCATAATACAGCATCGTCGCCATCTCATGCGCCCGTTCCAGCTGCTTCTGAGCCCTAGGTCGCCTGACCTGATCATACCCCGCAAACCCGGCACGGATATACGGTTGCAAATGGTCACCACCCGGAGCATTCAGATATATCTTAGCGAGCACATTCGAAAGTACTAACGCATCCTCAAGTCCCTGGCCGGCACCAGCAGCCTGGAAAGGTAGCGAAGCGTGAGCACTATCACCTAGCAAGACGATGCGATCACGGTAATATGTTGAAGTGTAGCGGTGGTGGAACAGACCCCATCGGATGGGTTTCGCTTTGCGGAGGAGTTGGCGGAAGCGGTCGTCGATGCTTGGGTCGTTGAAGTCGGACATCATTGTCTCGTAGGTCACTTTTTGGGTTACGGCGTTGGGGAGAGCCCAGGGTTTGTCGTCTGCTACGCAGAGGAGGAAATTGAGTTCCTGGTTGCAGTGCTTAGTCGACTGGGATGGATCATTTTGCTAAATGAGCTTTACTTACCTCTCCACCTGAGATCAAATAATGAACACAACAGCGCTTCTCACCCAGGTACATCTTCGCCACGTCCGTCAGGTCGCCGAAGATCTCCTTGCCTTCGGCAATGGGTATCACGCCGCGGTAGCAGTACGATCCGGCATAGACTGGATTGACCTGGGTTGGGTACAGTGGTGATAGCACGTGCTCTCTCACAACGCTCTTGATGCCGTCCGCGCCGACTAGGATACTGGCCTCCGCGGTGTCGCCGTCTGCGAACATTAGGGTGACTTTGTTTGGATGCTGTTGGATGTTTGTTAGGTGCTTGCTGAAACGGACTTTTTCGATCGGTATGAAGCTGGTCATTGTTTGGAGGACATCGTTGCGGTGTGCCTGAATTATCATTAGCCCAGCTGGCTAGAAGAGGGATGTGTAACTGAGTGACAGACGGCTCTGCGAACGTATTTTGGATGACCCCAGGATGATTTGCCGTACCAGGGCTCTTTGAGACCTGCAATGTTGGCCAGTCACTAAATTGATCACTGATTGGTTTTGGAGTATGGTATATGCATACCAAGGCCTTCCTCCAGAAGCATCCCTTCAAAAAAGATATTCTGAGCATCTCCAGGCTTATTACCGATACAGAATCGCTCAAATTTCGAAAGAAAGCCCTCTTCAATCATATCCAAAGCCAAATCACCATTGGTTCCGAACCCTATGCCGGCACTATAGCCAGTCAGAAAGGGGAACCGTGGATCTGATCAGATGGACGACAAAGCAACGAAACTTACCCGACAGTGGAATATTGAGCTTCCTCTTCATAGACCGTAAATGGTACGCCCTGCTTGTGTAGTCCCATCGCCAGAGCAAGACCTCCAATGCCGGCGCCTAGAGACATTCATCGGTGAATCCGGTGCCATAAGTATGAGAGTGACTGAGACGTACCGACGATAGCAACGTGCATGTCTTTTACTTTATCTCCCGCCATGATACCAGCTTTCAGCTATGTTATCTGCTACTAGAGTTTCTGCCAAGGGTTGTGTGAAAGATTAATCCGTCGATCACTCGATGAAGGAAAGACCAACTGCTATCTCAATGACGGACAAATGGACAGCCTCGCGTGCGGGGTTGGCGGGTTGGGTCGGATGTACGTCGTCTGCAGCTGCATCTCGATAAGCGCGCTACCCGTTTCTTTGAAGCAAGCAGTCCATGATAATTCGAAGTCTATTGATAACCCACTCCAACCTTGTCCCAGAAAAATCCTGCCTACCCAGACAGGTCCTTGTTGAGGCCAAGTAGGTAGTATACCCCTTCATTAAAGTCATCACATTATTCCCCGCCCGACTACCCATCAGTAACCTCAGTGCCTAGTGTACAGAGCAGTAATGCAAGCCCCTGATTACTCAGTAGCGTGCTCCTCCATGGCCATCGGTACTGGCAGCGCCTTGGTATTCCCTACAGCCTGACTGCACATATATAATAGGAAAAGCGCGATATTCCTCTCCCTTGCCTCCGGAGTATAGAAATCGTGGAGAGCACTCTTCAACACCACCAACTTCTTGCCATCGAAGTAAGCGATCAGGATTCTCGCCTTCAGGTTGTTTGTGCACGATGTCAAGAGAACCTGCAATGTCTCTTTTAAGTGAAATGATTCAAAAGGAAGCTGATTTTGGGGAGACATCAACTTACCGGAGCCACAACGTGGTCTCGTAGCGCTACCCTCCCAAGCCGGGTCCTCATGACGCCAAGTAAAACAAGCAGCTCAGAACGGAGGATGTTATTATCGCACACTCCTTCATGAGTTACAATCAGATTTATGTGAGGAAGTTCCTGGCCCTCGGGCAGGTTCGGATACCAAGCATCTTCAAAGCTGAGAGGTGGTGAGGCCAGAGGATCACTACCAGGGTCTGTGAACATAGCCATATTCATATAACGTTCCTTGATTATGGTATTATTGAAGGACCTGGCGGATGGGTGCTTGTCAGTATGCATAGCTATCATGGAATATTTACGTATATACGCAGTGGTTAACTGACCTTCCGAACCAGCCTGACAGATCATCGAGCGTAGCTCCGACCCCTGTGGTTCTCCTTGCGTGCCATGTAAATTGACAGAGGAACACACTGGACAGGAGAAGCCCAGAGTCGTCACTTTCCGGATCAAGCTCGCCGGTCGATTCACGCGACCTCTCTTCATCGAGGTCTGCGAAGCACGCCTCATTGACTCGGACGCTGCTTTTAGTATCCGGGTCGTCAAGGTTAAGGGGAAACTGCTCGAGCTTTTCCAAGGTCCAAGGCTTGAAATAAGTCTGTGCAGTAGCCGAGGAGCCTCCATCAGTGCGAAGTGTGAGCTCAACGCAGTTGATATTATAGTCGGCAGCTTGGTCGTTGGTGAGACTGGTCAACGGCGAAAGCCTCACAGACCGGTGTATCTCTCGAAGGCCAACTAGGATCTCCTTCCGTGCTTCTTTGAAGGTCTCATCGTTCACTTTCTTTTTCTGTTTCGAGCATCTCAATCTTCTGAAAAGTTTACGCAGTGACATTTCGGGAGGCGACTATCGCTGAATGATTTGAGGAGAGACGGGTAGGTGTCTTAGGAGAAAAAAGCACAACGTAAATAAGGGAGGTATTCTTGCTTATGACTCGCAAATGAGGTAGAATTTGTGTTTTGTAGGAAGTTGCGGGTGAATCCCCCAACCATGGTCTCGACTGGGATACAAGTAAATGAGAACCAATATTCTCGCCCATGTCAAGATGATGATAATATCCAGGAAAGTAAAAAAGAGCATTCACACAAGCATCTCAATACTATCGGTAGCGTTCCGGCATGGCATGAGAAACCTCAGAATCTACCCACTCGAGGGAAGACTGGGCGCCAAACAACTCCCACATCTGCGCGTTGTTCCACGATGATATCATATTCGGATCCATGGCCCCGTCATTGACAATACCAACGCGAGTTGCGCTAACATATATGTAATCATCAGCATCAATTTGCGGAATGCTTACTTCCGCTTCAGAACTCGATGGCATCGTAGACAAGTTAGTCTCGTCCAGTGGCATAGCCATCGTGTTGACGCTGCCGTCTCCTTGCATAAGCGGACTGCATAAGTTGAGAAACGTGGTGAAAAAGTGGTTTAGTTTGGAGATAGAAGGATTGGTGTCAATAAATCGATGCAGCCCTTTAGTGGTCTCATGCATAAGTTGGTAGTCTTCCGTATTGGAGGTTCCGACCACATTGCAGAATAAGAGGTAAAATGGAGTCGTGGGATAGAAAAACACGGTCCTAGTGATTAAAATTTCAGAGTCAAGTCAAATATAGAGTGAGGATAGGTTGCTCACCATGATAGAAACATTGAATATGTACCAACAAAGCTGTCTTCCTCGTTGAGTATCTTGTGTAGTCGCCCCAAGGCCTGGAAGGCGTGGCGGGCTTGTACTAGGCATTCTTCGCGAGCCTGAGGTTGAGCTTGCACCCTAGGGCTAAGGTGTAGTAATGTTGCCATAATGGCATGATACCGGAATTCGGTTGCAATCCATTCCACCTGTAAAGCAGGACTAGATTTACGGCATCGCTGGTGAAACCGTTAGACTACCGCGAAAGAGAGACGGCAATGCAGAGGATGAATAAAAGCTTACCTCGTCAATCACGGCTCGCAAAGAAGCGAGATTTTGTATGGCTGCGTCGAGGGGTGTTTCCACGTCGCTGATATCACTGAGGCCATGACTCCGGTGGACTACCTCCATTGCAGCTTCTTGAATCTGGGCAAGCTCAACCACTGTTTTGACAATCAGACTGAGAGCTCCACTTTCCATCGGAATTAGTGACGCTGGGTTGAGTTTCAGCCTTGGCAATGAAGGAGGACGAAGCAGAAGCATGCTCAGCATCTTGTCAAGGTAGAAGCAAGAAAAAAGACAGAAACGAGCATCTTGATCCTCCTGACAACGAACTGGAGTATCTTCTGTGATTGTATGATAGTTCATGGCAACAAGAATTTGCGAAGCGAATGCTGTGAGAGTCCAGCCTCGAGTTGGATGTCCCTGCATCTGGTGTAGGAGTGCCTAAGTGGAGTCTTGGTTGACTTTGGTTCAAGCGACTGGAAGGGAGAACATACGCCCGATAGTAAGGCTTGAGGTTGGAATATGTACCAACGAAATTTATCTGATCCAATGCCCGCAAAGCCGCGGACGCATATCTCTCTTGGGTCTTTTTGACGTGTGTGCGGAGCCGCCCGCCCAAGCCCTGCTGCGGTACGCGGGCGAGAAAGAACAGTGCTTTGGTGTAAACGCAAACCTGATAATGCAAAGATGTCTGCCGATCTAGTGTGCCCTCTGCAAGCGAAAGGCTCATGTGCTCTAGGCATCTGATCGATATATGGTCGGGCCAGTAGAAGTGTCTCTGAGCGGAGTGCTGATGTGAAATATCTATACGATGTCAGAGTTTACTTGGCTTTTCAAGACTTTCGATAACACGAACCCATAGACATCATAAGGTACACTTCTAAGGAGAATTCTTCGCGGACAGGTACGTCAGGGTCATCTGCACAACCCGGGTACCCACTGAAAACCTTGGGCTCTGAGGAAGATGCGGATATCTTGTTGACCAGCAACAAGGCGTTCTCCAGAACTGTACGCCTCTGGGGAGTTGAATGATTGCTATTCTGCAATTCCTGTTAGATTGACCGTCGCGCCTCGCTGACTTGGTGACTAGGTGTGCCCTCGCTCACAGCTGGTGACTCGGAGACTCTCTGAGAAGGTGTCTCCCCTTTGACATCATTAAGATTCCAGATTAACAGTTTCTGGAACATGAGACGATATGGGCTGATCTGTCCTGGCACTATTTGATTCCCCAGCTTGAGATCGAACATAGCTCTGTGAAGATGTCGCCGCAGCACTTGGAGGGTAGGAAATAACATGCTCAAGAGTCGATAGCCTCTCCGACAGTCCAGCAATTCCGGACTGGGCGTTACAATCCGAAACCCAGAGGTGGCCGAACACACTGAGTTCAAACGGACTTACCGGGAAACCCTGGGACGCATGCTGCGTCTGGGTCGGGTTCGCCGACATTCCGCACGAGCATCCACGCAGTTCATACAAGGGTCCAGCCGATCACATTTCACCTATCTAGTTGAGTGCGTCAGGCAGGAACCAATGTAGGAGATATTAAACGGTGTGCCAACGGTTGGGTAACGAACCTTCCTTGAGTGACACAGATCACACTTCAAGATTCCATGGGCGAATGTCAGCCATCAGGGAGGTATACCACAGTTCCTCATGATAGGAAGAGGAAACCAAGTCAAACATTCAGGAAGGACCAAGACTTTCACTGAGTGGGGAGGTACTTGCTAACAGTATGAGGGACTTACAGCTGATCTTTCCATTACGATCTGGGTGGCCATTGTGCCAGATGCCTTTTCTCTCGCTGCGAGAAGATGGATACTGTCCAGCCATCCAGCCAAGCACCAATGACAGCAAATGATGTAGGTTGGGGGCGATTGATTTTCGGTGGTCCGAACATCCGACTATATTTGGTAATAGTGGGTGTGGCAGTAGCGGACTTATAATGAGATAGGTCAGGGCAGGGGAAGTAAGGGCTAAAAGAGAAGATTGACGTTGATATAAATGTAATTGAAGGCTGCTCCTTAACCACCAAATTTGATCCCCAACTCGGCACGTGGTAGCAGCCGCTTGTGCCGGCTAAGGCGACGTTGATGTTGAAGCCTTGTCAACAGTGGAAAAAGTAGAGAAGTTTCTATGACAAATGTGGATCCAGATTTGTCAGTCGGTTGTTGCACGGGTGCGTTTGACTCGTCTTCATTGGTAGAACATCCAACCAAGTATGCTTCATCAAGTAGAAGAAGAGATGGAAAGGTTTTCGGTGAAGATTTGAGAGTGGAAAGGGGCAATTCAGCACGAGATCAAGCAACCACTCTTACATAGTAGATGCTGATTCTGTCGCTTAATCGGGTAGCTTCGCCCTAACCCGACGTGGCTTAGAGGGCTGCCTGGCATAAGCATTACAGGGACGAAACTATTATTGAAAACCATTTTCATTTTAATTTTCTTACTATATTATCGCCAGATATTGAACAACGGCCCTCGACTGGTTATACTGCGGCTCTTGATGGGAGTTTGTCCCCAGACATTGCAGGTTGAATAGATTAGGAACAAGCTTTTCACCAGTGGAGCCGGCCGAGGAGGGAAGGCTGTGTCCTTATTTATAGTTACTGTTTGTGCTTAATTCATAACTATTATCTCAAGATTGGACCAACCTCTGTGACCCATCACGCCTCGTATGCTCTCAGTTTGAAGTCTGGAATAATACCACTTTGGATTGTGCTTTCGGCTAGACGGCTCGCAAGCCTTGGAACCATCGAAACTTGGCTACAGCTAAGCCTCTCTAGTGTGTTGACGGTGCAATACACGTGGGTCAAATCGAGTACATCTTACACTTGGATGCATCAATAAGCCTCAGCTGACGCGGCCACTTGCCTACTGGGCGCCACTAGTCAACCCTGAACTCGACGACTCACAGTAGAATGTACTGAGAAAATCTTGGAGACTCAAAGTTCCTTGGGGGCATACCAATTAGAAATCCAATCGTGTGGTCCAACCAGTGGCATCGGGGATGCCTTTTCCGCGCATTCCAAACCCACCGCAATGCAGGTATGCTACGATCCATAGGTATGTAAGTGTTTCAGCAACACAGATAAGACACCTAACCCGAAGTCTGCCATGCATTACAGATAAGATTGAATGCGTCGGAAGTCTACATATGAAGAGTAAGAATTTGCTGCAATTTTCCCGTCTCTGCTTCTTACCGGCCACTCACCATGCGAAGGCCATCGCGCTTTCAACTATGCATTTGTTTCTTTTCCCTCACTACATTGATACTCTTGGCAAGCCATATTTATGATCTATGCAACCAGTATCGTGCACAAGAGTACATAATTGATTGGTTCGGTTTTGAACGGACCGGTCAAAAGAAAATCTCTACTCCAGCCCAGATTGGCGACAAGGTGATCGTGGCTGCGAAGCTGCAGGATGAGCAGACAGAATGGATTGAACAAGAACTACCCGAGTAGGCTGCCTAGTTTAACATTTTCCAACAGTTACAGTTTGTTCACTAATTATATGAAGCTGGCAACGAGCTATCTATATCGTCAACCCATCACGAGAAGTTGCAGCTGACAGCCGACAATTTACAACACCCCTTAACAAGGGCCATGAATCTATGGCTTACCTAACATACCTTATAGATCACTATGATAGGCTCCCTTCCATCATTGCATTTATCCATTCGCATCGCTCGGGCTTTCTTCGAGCCTGGCATGTCGATGCACCTTTGCATGACAACGTATGGTCCCTAAGAGCCCTACAGCTGGACTTTGTCCAGCAGAATGGCTATGTCAATCTACGATGTAACTTGAACCCAGGGTGCAAGGCCATATACCATCACGTAACACGTGATGTCTTCACAGAAATATTTGAAGGCACCAGCACGCCGCCACTAAACGGGACTGATATTGCACTTGGAAGTGACACACGCGCCATTGAAATACCTGAGACGGTTGCGGCAGCATGTTGTGCGCAGTTTGCAGTATCTCGATGGCAGGTGCTTCAGCGACCACGCGAAGACTATGTCAAGATACGGCAGTGGATTATCGACACGCCGTTGGATGATGCTCATAGTGGGAGGGTTATGGAATATCTTTGGCATATCATCTTCGGCAAAGAAGCTGTCTAGTAAGTTGGATTTCTGCTGGTAGTGGAGTGATGCTGACCTCGGCTTAGTTGCCCAGATGAAGAAGTCTGTTATTGCCAGGTATATGGGCTATGTTGAATGACTGCGTGCTAAGCATTTTGTGTAACAAGCGTGTTGTGAATATATTAGATTGCTTTCTTGCGGTTGCCATACTTTCCATTAGCCCTCCTTGTACCCATTAATAGCAATAGTCAATCATTACGGCTTATTATTTGGTGCAAAGCACCAAGCCGACAATCAAAATATAACAAGACAGGCCCTAAACCACGGCCCCAAACACCGATAGCAATAATTCTAACACCGCACGCGACCAGGATACTCAATATTTCCTCTATTAGCCTAATACCCTCGTATTTCATACTCTATACCTCCATCACTCCCACCAATTACCTTCCTCCCTCCCTGCTATCTTACCCATGCACGGCTGCCTAGCATCATCACCATCACCACCACTACCTGCAAGCCACACAGCCCATGACTTCCCAAAGGGTTCGGAAGTTCGGACGCCCGCACTAATTACACCACAAAACCACCTTACCCACCTATCTCTTTCTCCTCACTCTGCATGATTATTCCCTGGAAGTTGACCGGATGAATCAGACACGTCGGGAATCCCCCATCACATACTTCCTATACTAGTATGGAACCTGAACTATCCCACGTGCCACATCCAGACACTCCCATTGCACAGAAACCCGTGGTTTGAATAGAATTTCTCTGGGTCCGGACCCACGGCCCAAATTGAGTTATTTACTCGGCAAGATCTGCGGGTGGGTCTACTAACTACGCCCGTCCCTGGGTTGAGGTGCTCTCGAGACAGGTTGCCGTGTTGGTCAGCATTTGCTCACTTTGACTTTCTGTGAATATTTAGCATGACTAAATTCGTAGATTTTAGGCTATAGGAAGTATGCTCGTGTTCTTCTGGTAGTAGTAGTTGACTCCAAGCTGGATGAATCCACTTTGATTCTGGCACTGCGTTATCGTTCACCCGTTATATTGACAAGGGGAAAGTACATACAAAATATGATATTCCAGATGCAATATACATACCTAGATCAAATCAACCACTCTAGTCCCTAGCTAAGCACCACCCATAACTCCCCGGGAGGCACGCATAGCACCGAGCTCTAGATCCTGATACCCATCTTTACTACCTTCCATATTCCTATTTTCAGTACATATTCCATTTCCAAAACCCGCCCCAAATGCTCCAATCCTTTGTCTAGGCCCCCAAGCCCATCCACCATACCCCTGTCCCGCAGGAGCATGATACCACATAAACCCCAAAAAAGCAAACACAATCCCAATCAAACTCCCCCCCAAGATATCCCACCCAGCGTGCATATAGTCCATATACCGCGACGCACAGATATATAGTGCACCACCAACAGGAACCGCAATGAGTACAAGGAGATACAACGGCGGAGCAGCCACCGCCGACGCCCTGCTGAATGACGACTCCGTCTTCTTATCGCCACCTCCAGCACTAAAAGACATAGAGCGAACAGGAACAGCCACAGCGAATCTAGCGCCCAACCACAGAGACAGATACAGCAAACCCGCCCAAGCGAAGGAAGAATGCCCAGATGGAAAAGCAGCGAACCCAGCTTTAATGACACTCGCATCGGGGTTCTTGCAAATAGCCGATGTCACCATAACCGGTGACTCTGTACGCTGGAGACCCAGTCCACCGACAGCGTAGGTAGTGAGGTTGGCTAGATCGGGCTGGCAGCGGGCGAGAAGGTCCGGTCGTGGTTTACCCACCACGTCTTTGAGACCGGAGGTGAGGAAGAATGCACCCGCGAGACTCAGGGCTAGGCCTAGCCAGCCGGCGTGCCATTCCCAGAGACGATGGGGCCAGGGGAGGGGTGAGAGGAGGCAGATTGCTGCGATGAGGACGGCGGGGACGACGCAGCAGACGATTCCGACGGTTGTGATGGAGACGGTGTCGGATTTGAGGGGGTAGGAGATGTTTGCGTCGTCGAGGGAGAAGACGTGTTCGGAGCCGGTGATTTTGTAGAGAATGCCACCTGTGATTACGAGGATACTGGTGTTGTGAGATGCTTTAGTATTGTGTTTATGACGAATGAGGGGAATGTGGGAGGGTTATCGAACATGATGAATGCCCAATCCAGCACGTATGAGGCTATCACACGCTTTGAAGTTCGTCTGGGCTGAGTGAATAGCATGTCGAAGTCTGCATCGGCTTGTGGTGTTGATGCCATGGTGGTGAGATTGGAAGTGTATGAAGTGGTAGAGAGTGATTCCCAGTGATTCTTTATTGCTGTTTGCCGTGGGAACCTTTGCTTATAATAGTGGGTCATGCCCGGCCGCAGATGTCAAAGAAGCCCATCCATTGTCAGTCCCTTAAATTAGCACGGGATTGTTGGACCCGTTTTTACGATCCAAAGTCTGGATGCCCTGACGGATGCCATAAATAGCCGAGTGGTACGGCCTAGTCCCTACCATAAGAGGCATGATTGTCGTTTGGACGGTGCAAGCATTGAGCTAAGCATTGTCAAAGTATACATCTTAAAGCTTCTGCCTAACGTGGCTGGGGGCTATGTAACACAACAACATTATAGGAGAGTTTGTAGAAATAAGCTCCGGGAGCGAGTCTTAGCGGAACCTTCTGTTACACGCAGTCTACCGTTCAGATAGCCATGGTTATGAAAATCTTAGAGAA